TTATCTCGAAATTTGTGGGCGCTTCTGACTCAATCAGGATCCTCGTGGATAGCTTGGGTGCAAATGCTTGTGCTAAGTTTGGAAGAAATTGCTGTAGCTCAGGCCTCTCGCCTCTTGCCTTCCCTTTTTTCTGTCAGATACTCTCATTAAATCACCTCACAACATTTATAATGTCCTAAGATCACAAAAATTAGAACAAATAAACAAAAAATCAATGACAAGTAATTTGTGACAGGTTGTTATCAAGCAGTGAATACCTGTCACATGATCAGCTGTAAGAGTTTGTGAGTTTTGTCAGCAACAACAAGGTGGGGCTTATGGAAAAAGGAATTTTGAAGATGTCCCTCTTGTGGTCTACAATTTCATATAATCTCATTGCTTATGATAGACTGAGTAGATATTCGCACTAGATTTTATTCCATGGCTTTCCACGATTGTAAAACTTTCTAAAAAGGAGTTTAAGTCAAGACCAAGACGAAGACACCAAGTATTTGCACAGAGGAGGTAAGATTGTTCGCTTTTGGCAATGAAAGCATCATTCTGTCTTTGCTTTTGATTTTGACTGAGGCTTGAGGGGTTTTCATCATCTTCATCACTTTACCGAACTTTTGTAACAATCACTCACTCAACCAGACCAATCACCGACCTGCATGGATGCCCTGAACCAGGAGGGACTGTAGCTAATGAGACTCTCAGACCCAACCCTTTGACTATCAGTACTAGGAACGAGAAAAACAAGTGATTGCCTTATTCGAAGTATGTGCTTTTATAACTTTCTTTTCTAAAATTCGGGTTGTGATAATCTATGTTTTCTGCGTAGATAAAGGAAAAATCAATTTGCCAATTAGCTGTAGCTAACTCGGCGACAACATTTGCGACACATTGCATACATGCTGTACCTAGGATAAGGCAATAGTATTAGTGCACCCAGACCCTGTTACAAGGACAAACCGGCAACCTTCAACCATCAGATGTGCGTGGCACTTTTAATTACAACAGATTTACATCAGCTTTCGAAAACCGTTAAGCACAAATTCCAAAAATGATGGATAATTAATGCTTACAATATACAAGTTTTGACAGTTATGTGTTACAACCCTCGGCCCCTACACCACCTCAAAAAAAAAAAAATGTAGAGCAAACTGTTGCTTTATACCCTTCCAATGCCTAACAGTAGATTGTCTAATAAACATCCTGTAGAATTTTGTATTGCTATGCTATAGTGACGGTATTATCAAAATTGGGGCTGGCACCACTGCTGCTGGAAAGCATTTCACACTGCAGAGTATCAAGTCTCTCATCAAGATCACAAACACACACCACTGATGATATCTGACCTTAAAGATGAACCTTGGTTTACAAGTCAGGACCAGTGCATGTGGAATAGGCCTTCACGTGATCCAAGCCATGCCCCGGAATTATGGTTTTGCCCAAGTAGGTGCTCTTTATATCTTTGTTTTTCATCTTCCCTTCCCCCGTATCCTGCACGTATTTCCAAGGTTTATATAATATAAACTATAAAGTGGACAGAGAAGTGATATAATATCCCCCACCACCGGCGAGGAAGAAAGATAAATATATAAAACCCAGCAAAAGTAGGGAAGAAAATGAAATATACTTTCAGCCCTTTGCCAGCAAACAGTTGTTGGCGCAGAATCAGAAAATTTGTCCTCAAAGAGCAGTTTACCAGACTTGATACTCCAAAGCCGTAAATAGCAGTCCTCTCCTCCTGAAATGAAATTGTTGTCAGACACTTAAATTCCCATATCTGCTAAGATTGTATGACATGCATTGAGTTTGTATGGACCTGACATAACAAATCTCTCAGATTGGTCAACTCCAAGCTGTATACGAGTATGGGAATTTACATGCCCTCCATAAGATTGTACAGCCCCTCTCTTAGTTAGCCGGTGATCATATAGCTTCATCTATTAAGAAAATTATTAAAAAGAAAAAGATTATTCATAAGAGAATCCATCTAGACATGTCCTAATAGAGATACAAACAACACCGCAAAAAATACAACTGCTATCAGGAATAAGGCAAATGCAACAACTATGTACCCAATATAATTTAAATATTGTTAAAGTGAGAAAGGAACCCAAGTAATGTGAAAAAATCTCCTGTCAACTTTTCTACTCCGATTGGATCTTGGTTTTGATGATCAAGGGCTTCAAGGGTTCTTGAAGTCTCTTCTCTGTTTTTGGATCATTTTTGTTTTGTGGTCTTTGGGTATTGCTGTCACTGTTTGAGGTTGTTTTCTAAGAATTATGTCGTTGTTGTTTAGCCTCCTTGGTCCCTGCTATTGTTTTTGATCTTAGGCAGGATAGAGTTTTTTTTTTGTGAGGTTCTGATTGATGAGGGCATGCTGCTGGGTTATGTAAGCAGTGTGTGAACTTTTTTGTTTTGGCTTTTCTTGCCATACCGATTTTCTTTCATACCAATGAGAGTCCGGATAATGGCCAATAAATTCCACTTTTCAAAAAAAAAATATAATTTAAATAAAACTAAACAGGGAGGAAAATTAGGGGCAGAGGTGAAGTTAGCAAGGCAAAAATTCATACAAGAGTAAAAGAGGCTAAAGGAAACTAACCGAACCATCCATCGAGCTTGCCAAGAAGTACTGATCATAGGATTGAAGTGACACCAAACTTGAGGTCAAAAAATGTAGCAGGAGTTAACAAACTCAAAGCAAACAAAGAATACTTGAAAACAGGTTTACGATAAACATCAAAGCCCACTAACCTAGAAATAGATGATGGCATATAAATGGTACGAGATGGATATATGCGTCCTTTGAGCTGAAAAACATGACAATCAGATACATTACCCTCCGGTTCAACAAAACAAGAAGTTCCCAAGTTAAACGTTCAACAAAATTTCATAATATGAGATGAAGTGAGACATGAATAAGTAAATTGAATAAGTTGGCATTAAAAGCAAGAGAAGTGGAAATATGAGATCATGCCTCATGGCTCATCTACTAACAAAGTTGCCACACTTCTAAGAGCAATATTTTACATTAAATCTACAGCTGCTCTTAAGACCACAACCTGGTTTCAGATTCAGAATTAAAAATCACCATCACTCATTATCTTTTCATCATATGCACACATAAAAACTACAATTTAATATCTCTAAAATAGAGTTGATACCTCAAACCATTGTTTCTGATTACTTCTACCTGACGAGAAGTAAGGTATTCGATGCCTCGTGAGTCTAGCAGACAGGCCATCCTGGTTCTCACGGACATCAACAGTGACAATCGCTCCATTTCTGAGTCCACACAAAACAAGATTGCCCTGACATAAGTAATATTCAGGATCAATTTCCAGATACAGGTTTGCTGCAATCTTCAACGAAGCAAATCCCGTTAATAATAAGTAGACTACATAAGACAAGGGCCAATCAGGATCTGAATGTGGTCCCATAGTTCTGCAAACTTATCACTCTAGTCTTTACCTGCATTGCTGGACTCAAGAGTATACATACATATATGATTCACTGAACACATTAAGCCACTAATTACTATAAATCAGATATACATCACTTAGCTTGGGCCCAGACAAGATAAGATGGTCCAGACAGCTGCAAAATTGTATTTATTTGGCTCCCAATGCGTAAAGGGAGTAGCAAAATTTATTAAGCATGGTTGAACATTAATATTAATGAACTTATTCTGCTCCTTACAAGTTGAGAAATTATGAAAAGGCTCATCGATTAAAATAAAGGGGCATTTGAGATCATTGGCCAAAACCTTGAAAGGATATATTACTTACTGTCTGATCAAATTGTTGTGCCAAAACATCACTTTTACTACGACACACCCATGTTGAGGTTCCTCTTTCCACATTGACCAAAGAAGCTCCAATATTGGTTCCTATAACAATCAAACAAGCATATATAACTATCTTGACATTACACAAAGTGAAAGATAATAGCAGGTAAAGGTCATTGCAGGTAAAGGTCACTACCCTCTTATTTATATTTTTATTCATAAGGGACTCGTTATGACAATTGTTCAAATAAGATACAACAACAGAAATTTTAAAATGACATATGCTCACAGCAATTCCGATTAATTGCAGTTTGTGATTGAATAAGAGTGCAAATATGTAGAAAATGCGAAACCAATGATCAGGCCTTAGTCCAAGTGGATAAAATTAATGTCTAATACCATGTAATTGCAAACCTAAATTGAGCAGGGAAACTAAACTGAGGAAAACATGGCTGGAAATGATCGCAAAGGACCTTGCATTACTGATCATATGAAAGACTGAGAAGAAAGGCTTATGATTCCATCTAGTGGACAATGGCATAATAGAGGAACTACCAGAAATTTCAGGAAAGCTATCTAATTCCATTCGACAAAAGAAGACAACATCAAAGCCAAATTAAGCACAACTTAACAAGATGAAAAAACTAAAACGAAAATGACAGGGAGAGAAAAAACTTGCCAATTACTGCTTGACTTGTATGAGAGTTGAAATCTGCTGTCCAAATGGTATAATTGAAAGATGCAACTGCATGTAACCTTTGATCCACTGTAGAACTAAAATCTACTGGTTCCAGGAGATTAAGGATATAAACATATCCACCAGAAGTCTCGGATCCCAGTGTAGTTATCCTGTTTTCTTATGTTAAGAGATAGCAAGTGCAAAACCAAATCTTCTTCCGATTCAGACATAGTATATCTAAAATTTGAGAAGTTTATCGCAGCAGTGGTATAAACCATGAATTAGGTAGCACATCCATTTGGCAAAGTGAGACTCCGATGAGTAATGCTTCATAAAACATGTTAAAATCTTGCCCATCCAGATCACAGCCAAGATTCAAATATTTTCAGGGATAAACGTCTTCAATTATAGGAAAAAGGGTCTATTTATAGAATGACCATGCAGTTTGGGCAAAAGCCTTCCTAGACAGATTAAATCGAGTGGACCACAACCATTCTCAGCATATCCCAGATCAAGAACCTAAAAAGAGAAAATTTTTCTTTTGTTTTTCCCATCCAATGAGTGGATTTACATAATAGAAGTTAACCTATTCAGCAGCTAGGAACATTTAAGTATTACCATCACATAAATTAAACAAATAATTCTAAGGGAGGCCACATGTTAAAGTGTATGTCAAAATAAGCAATCACTGAAGGATACAGTGCACGTCGGACCTTAGAGTCATCATTGTTTGTAAAAGTAGAGCACTTTTCAAACAATCTTATACAAGAAATTCTTGACGGCATACGAAGAGAAGCACCTGGGGGCCTCCACATATACTGAGGTGTTTCATTACTCTCTGCTTCGACCTTGGTAGAAGGCCCAACAAGATCAGGAATGTGGGTTAGCCCATAGTCAAAATGTTGTCCAAACTTTCCAACGTTTAAGAAACTGCAAGAACACCAAACTTCAGAAGCAATGACTAAATTATCTAAATGTTTATGAAGTACCACTCCAGTGATAGAAAATTTCAAACAAGGGATGATACATAAGTTGCTCTGCAATGCCATTTAAAGAAGCTACTGTTGCATCACAAGAAGAATTAGAAGACAGTAACAAATCCATGAGACAAGTATAAGGCTTGGAATTACAGTGTAACATAAAACTTGAATGGACAAATGGAAGTGAATATTAGTATTTAACTCAACATGTAAAATGTATGCATGTGCATGTGTTTTGCAGTCATAAGAGAATGCATCATAATATGTAAAAGCTCCAATACAATAATTAGAAGGGATGGATAACATTCGGCTGGTAACACCAACAAGAAAATCACTTCATTGTGGGAAAGAAAAGGTGTCAAAGATATGTGGGGGTCCCAATGTCACAATGAAATTCAAAAGGCGAACTAATTTAGATGGTAGCACCAATAGAAAGACCATGACATGCATTGTGTTCCTCATATTTATATCACAATTCATTCCAATTTGCAAGAACTAGGGCATGTTTAGGTCTCCCAACCATACAGTCTGTCCAGGGTGTATTATCACCAGATGACGTGACACCACAATTCAGAATAACAGGTCACTGCTCAAAACATGCTAACCAATGACACGCTTTGGCAAAATGTATTTTGCCACCAGTAGATGTGATAAAAGCAAATGAATACTAACAACTCATTCCTTATGTGTTAATAAATTGTAGGCCCAACTACAACAGCAGAATTATAATAAAACTATAGAAAAATATTTTGGAGGCATCTTGTATTTGGAAGAGAATCTAGATACATCTATGTATGTTTCCAACTCTATTTATACCTCAAGGAGCCATCTATACTTCCTGCTAGTAGAACATCAGTTTCCGTTTGACCCTCTAGTGTCTGTATATCTATTTGTGTCTGTTCCAAAGCACTATCACTTACATTATCTGTCCCATGATATCTCCAAACCTGAAATAAATTTTAGTAACATAAGATAATGAAAACTAAGTGATTTTCAGCGAGAAATTTATGGGGAACAAAATTCTGAATAATCCTCTGGGATGTTAAATAATTCCAACTAATGCAGCCTTAAAAAACCTAGTACAGGCAATATAAATTCATATACAATAGTATTATTCTACTCTTTTCCATAAATATTCTCAAGGGTCACAAAGGAAAGAAAAAAAAATGGTTTGACCTATCTGCAAGATAAACTAAAACTAACTCTTAATACGGTTAAAAATGATATAGTCCATTTAGTTTGATGAATTAGCGGACTAACATGAAGAATTTGTAAATTTTAGAAAATTAGCATTGGGCAACTTGTAAATTACCACAGGTTTAGAAGCCTGTAACTTGTGGAATTCCTCCTGAAAACTATGCCTCCCTCGATCAAAAGTGAAAGCACCGCCGTTCAACTCTCTAAGATGAAGCAGCCTAGATGTGGGAGCCTTGGTTTGTGGACACAGCTTGGTTGCCTGCAACAAAATGAGTAAAAGAAGTTGAAGATTGGAAAAACATGAAGCTGTTTGTCTCCAGTAAAGTTAAAAGGTAAGGAAGAAAAAGTTAATGGTGAAAACCCCATTAGAATTAAGGCAGGATTATTATTATTATTGTTAGTCTTCCAAATGAAAAACTCAAAGTCTCAACAAAATTGGAGACTGAACCAGATGTCTAGGTAGTAAAGATAGAAAACGATTTCAATTGAACACAGTTGAATCATTATTGTTATGAGGAATCCTTAGGATTAGGGAAGAAATATCTTTTCCACAGTTAGCGTCGATATCTATGTCAACCATACAATGGAAAAACGTAATCCTTAGAGGACAACCTTCAACAAGCATTCATATTATGAAGAAGAATCGGAATGGTGTTACCTACCTCAACCTGGATGGAGTTTGAAAGTGGGTTCTTTTGAAATTGCGACGCATGGGAAGAAGAGCCAGGTATCCGAGGTTTGATGGGAAAGTACCTGTTCTTCTCAGCATCGTAGTACAACCCAGGGAGCTCTGCTACATCAAAATTATAGGCGTAAGTATTAATATTATACTTTCAAACAGTAGAATTAAGAGAGAGAGGTACCTTGCGGCATGTTTTTGGATGGAAGGGGTGATACTCTTGAGTTTGAAAAGCAGAGAAACGATGAAAGGAAAGGGATGCTACTCTGAGGTTGAGAAGCAGCGACACAAAATCACAAAATCAGAAAACAAGTTTTAAGTTAGAAGGTACTTATAAGGCGCGGCGGGCGGCGCTTATGATCTATCTCCCACTCAAGTTAGGAGGAGAAGCTGCTGTGCTCGTGTTAGTCTGTTCCTGTGCTTGTCTGGGAAGCCTGTGCAACCCACGTGACCACCTCTGACCCTCTTTTATTATTATTGTTATTTTTTAATTTTCTGTTTACTTGAATGCGTAGTATTACTAGTATTAGGACTCCATTTGTTTTAACCTTTACCATTTTGACTACAATTAGGATTTAGGCTTTTACAAAAATTAATGAAAAAAAGAACAAAACTAATTATTTATAAAATAAAACCATAACATAAAACTATCCATGTACACATTATAATACAGAGAAACAAAAATATTAGTACTAGTAACAATTAATTCCATGGGACTGGCATTATATTCCATAGGGAACTAAGGTATCAAACTCAAAGTTACAATAACTCTCAAATGAAGCTTCCATTTCCGTATCCTGAGCTCCGCTGAAGTAGTAGTCCTTTCGTTTTTCAATTTCCACCTCGCAAACCCTCTGCTCTGGTGGATTGGCTACTGCTTGTTGCTTCCTGTGCAATACTACTGCTTTATTTTCTCTGGGTTCAATACCATCCCATTCCCACGTGCAATCACTGCGCCCCAACCCAGGTTGATGATATGAAGGATGAGTAGAGGAGAATGGGATTAGGAGGCTTTCCCAGGACGATCGCGTCGGCGATTCCTTTGAAGCATGCGGATTTTGTTCTCGGATTGTCTGAACTATGTCACGCTTTTGGTCTTCGAATTTACAGGTTGGTATGGTTGAGATACCTTCATGCAATAATGTTGAACAAGACTGGCTATAATAACCATCGTCGGGAGGAGCAGGAACTGCAACTGATGAAGCAGCTGGTAGACTAGTGATCAGGGAAGGTGGTTTCATATCTACGGGATAAGAATCATCATTCCCTACTACCGAAATTACAGTACTACTGAAGGTTGGTTGTTCATCATAGATACAGCAGGAGAGCTTGCATGAACTTTTTCCATAATTACTACTCCCATTAATGCTATAAATTGGATTAGCAAGGAGGTTGTGAGTGTTGGGATCTAACCCCTGTGCGATAAGCTTCTTCTTGATGCATGAATTCCAGAAGTTCTTGACCTCGTTGTCTGTCCTACCTGGCAAGTGCTTAGCTATCTGAGCCCATCTATTGCCTAGTATTCTATGAACATCAATGATAATCCTCTCTTCTTGTGGAGTAAATGAACCCCTTTTGAGATCCGGCCTCAAGTAATTTATCCACCTCAGTCTGCAGCTCTTACCACACCTCTGCAAGCCTGCAAGAAGCTCAAGATCAAAACCCATTTGGCCATTTCAAAACGATCGATGTGTATATGTGGACTATGATCATTGGTACCAGAGGACACTTAATTAAAAACAATGAGGTTAGTTCAAAGACAGATCGGAATATTCTTTGAAGTTGAGAAGAGTGTGCATGCATTTTTAAATAATTAATACACCTGCTAGTTTTGGAACAGAACTCCAAGAAGCATGGCCATGGGTGGTTATGTATCTGATTAGCTTCTCATCTTCCTCGGGAGACCACAGCCCTCTCTTGACTTTCTGTTTGTTGCAGCAGTGATGGACCATCCTATTGATCTTAACTCAACCTCCTGATGCATATATCGCAGCTCTACTCACCATTAGGTGGGAGGCTAGCTGGAGATCAGCAGCTTTGCTTATATTTCTAGCTCCAATTAATTTCACAAAACCAACCCTCCTCTCCTCTAAATATACAGGTGCTAGTTGTTCCAAATTTGGCTACTTAATTATACGTGTATGATGGAGATATCTAGATAGAGAAGCAGGAAATTTAACTTGGGGTGGAGTAATCATCATGAAATTTAAGGACCACTGCTCTCAATCGAGTGTTTTGGTAGCTTCCAAGCCTTGCCTCTTCATCTTTCGCTTTTAACTATATATGAAAAAACCCTTTCTAGCTAGCATTGATGATATATAAATGTATATGCTCGATAAAATAAAAATAATTAATATACATGCCCCGTAAACAGATCACTTGACAGAAAGGGGAGGTTTTCGTTGATAGGAGAAGAAGACAATTGGTAAACACAAAGTCATACATTCCGCTGTTTCAAAGTTTACAATTGATATCTCATGAGCATATTAGCTAGCTTTAGCATTCTACTAACATATAGTGGAAATGGTAGGATGGAATCTAATAATGTTTGAGAAAATAAAATTAGAGATATAAAAAGTAATCTAAGTATGGAATGGGAAAGAAGAAGAGATATGATTAAGGGTGGGGGATGAATGATAATATGAACATTTAGGGGAAGACTTCATGATTCAAGGATAACCGACATGATTTCTTGCATCCAAATTCAAACATGCCAATGATCTCTAAAGACTTTTGTCTTAATTCGTGCTTTGCAGAAACTACTAGTACTATTTAACTATATATATATGCACACACATACACACACACACCACATGTGTAGATTGGCATCTCCTTTCTCCACTCAACGGTTGCTTGAGAATGTCAATTTCTTGGTGTCAACGAAGATGATGATGATTCGATATGTCTGCTCTCCCTAATTTCCTCTGATTTTAAAAGTAGAGACAAAACTTTTCACATAATCTGTCTCCTTTTTCTATTCTTTCAAGTTTTAAAGGAGGAAATCACGTGGAAAAGCAATGCCTGCTATCAATGGGGTGACATTACAAAGCAATTATAGACTTTGAAAAACACACTTGTCAATGAATCTTCTTCCACATAAAAAATGTAGCGTCAATCTGGTTTCCCTCTGAAATCACTGCAGTCGGAGCTAGTAAGTGGCAATTAACTAACTAAAATCTCTCCGTCATATTGTTTTCTCCATGAACGAACAGTATCCTTCAAGAGTCGAGACTTACTGTCTTATTTTAGAGAATCGCAGCCGACGAAAGCATCCGTGCAGAATGTGAATTGAAGCAGGCAAGTCAGTGAACAGATTGTTGGGATAATTGCAAAATGTATTCATCATCCAAAGGAAGCAAGGGTATCCTGTATGATGATGTTGTTCGTAATTAATTAAGTTGCAGATCATCATTCATCAGTGTTGTTTGTTTTTTTTTTTCTCTCTGTCCAAAGCTATGGTGTTCTTGTGTTAGTGTCAAAGACTTTGTACCAGTGCTTGCAATCTACATAAATAAATTTGAAGCACTGAGATGATGTGTTGAATTTGGCCGTTCAAAACAACAAAAAAAAAAGATCGTCATTCATCACTGCTCTAGTCTCCAGCCTGCAGGTGTGACCAAGAGATGCATTAGTACGTTTTGGCTGCTGTTATCATTCTTGCTTTGAGAGTTGTAAAATAATGTTTTAGCCTCTATATGGTTTAGGGAGAAGTGGGGTTGGAGGGGCCGAGTCCTGTCATAGACAGTTAAAATGTGTATGATCATAATTAAACACCAGGGACCACCACTCCATTTTCATAATTTAGTCTTAATATATAGTAATTAATAACGTTACCGACAGTTGCATGATTACATCTTTTAAGTTTTTCACTGCAATCAAAACCCCGGCAGACTTGATTATCCCCACTTGTGAAACCATCAATGCCTAATGATAACTTTTTCTTCATTAAAAACTCCTTCCTTCACGTATATTAATTTGTTATATTAATCGCGTATGCTTGCTGCACAGAATTGGTAATGTCGGAGTATATATCGTATGTATTCTGCTGATATTTTTGTGTGCTTCATGTCAAGCAGCAGCTAGGAATCGTGCAGATCTTAACTCTATTACCAATTGCTTGTAGTAGCAGCGACTGCTTCAGCAAGCTGCGCGTGTCCTTTCCTTGTCGGCAATGGTCAAATCTGCTAATCATATGAGTAGGGACAAGAATTGTTAAAAACAGCCAAACCTTCTAGATTTATAATAATAGTGAGAGTGATTGATAGCTACTAGTATAAATTTTGCCAACTTCATAAACTTAGACTTGCAAGCAAATTAAATTTCAAGTCTATCCTATCCTCCATGGATAGGTATCAATCTTGAAAAAGAAAAAAAATTAAATTAAATTAAATTTCAAGTCAAGCCTCGAGGGTGAAGAGATTGCAGATGTTGCAGAGAGTTGGTTTGATCTTGAGCTTGTGAAAATGATCACCAAATATTTCAAGAAAAAACTATTGACTGCTCCTAACCCTTTTCTCCCAATCTCGATCGGTCCTTGTAGTCTTGAAAGAAAGACTAAACAGAAGTGCATGTTCATTCAACCAAGAGCTTCAAATGCGCCAATAATGTTGACTTGAAAATTGGGTTTTGGTTTGCAAGGTCTTAATGTAACTAAGAAGTGGGCAGAGATGCTTTGCAATCATTGCAAAATAGACCAAGTCATGGAGTGCTGAGGTGAATAATCAAGCCAAAAGCTTACTAGTACGAAAATACACTTCCAAGTAAAGTACATCCTTCAAGATAGTACTCTTATTGGCATAGTTGCAGTCTAATTTGACTAGTACTGGTTCAAGCTTCAAACCCAAGCGAAGTACCCCATGTGAGCCCTGGCCAGCAGGCCAAGTGGTGATTGAATTAATAGACCTCTTGTTTTGGGTTTTGTGAATAATAGCAGAAACATACAGGTTCCAAGCTCTTCCTTGAGCTCTCTTGACAAACCAAACAAGTGGTAGAGACTTGTTAAACATGGACTATTCCATCAAGTATGATTATGAAAGTTGATTTTTGAATCTGTGGATGTGAGGAAAAACAAAAGCCATGGTCCAACCGACAATACCCCCATATTCTTATTCTGGCCTCTTTAGATTTACTATCAGACCATTCAACTCATGGGCTTTAGCCTTGAAAAATGCTTCCTCTCCTCGCAAAGCCTTGGACCTTTACTCTCAAATGCACCGCCGATCAATTCCCTTTGATAGTTTCTCGATACTTTTCATGCTCAACTCCTGTGCCCCTCTGCACAATTCTAACCTCATTGCCCACCTCCACTCCCATATCCTCAAACTGGGCTTCATTTCCCACGTCTACGTTGCCACTTCTCTGCTCCGTGCATATGTCCTCGCTTCCTTCAATTACGCACGTAAACTGTTCGATGAAACGCCTGAAAGAAATGTCGTCACCTGGAATATCATGATAACTGGCTATTCAAGGTCTGGGGACATAAACAAAGCGCATGCACTTTTTGAGGCAATGCCTTTGAGGGATGTTGCTTCTTGGTCTGCCATGATTGCGGCTTTTATGAATAACGGGAAACTGAATTCTGGGTTCTCATGTTTTCGAGAAATGGTAGCGAGTGAGAGGTACAAACCTGACCAACTGACAGTGGGATTGGCTCTAGGGGGGTGCGCTCACATGGGTTCTCTTGGATTATTGGTGGGAAAATCCGTTCATGGGTTTATGGTTAAAAATGGGTGGGGCCTGGATGTCAAAATTGGCACAATTTTGGTTGATATGTATGCCAAGTGTGGTTTACTGAAGCTTGCTTGCATAGTTTTCAACTTGATGCAACAAAGGAATGTAATGACTTGGACGGCATTGATTTGTGGATTTGCACAACATGGCTATAGTGAGGAAGCACTTTCTTTCTTTGAGGCCATGCAAGACATTGGAGTAAGGCCTAATGAGTTGACTTTTACGGGTATTCTCAATGCATGTGCGCATAGAGGTTTAGTAGAGGAGGGCCGCAAGTATTTCAACATGATTGAACAGAATGGTTTGGAGGCAAGAATTCAGCATTATGGGTGCATGGTTGACTTGTTCGGTAAAGCAGGGTTACTGGAAGAAGCTTATCAGCTTATTACGACCATGAAGGTGGAACCCAATGTTGTTATTTGGGGATCCTTCTTGTCGGGTTGTAAGGAGCATAAGCAGTTTGAGATCGCTGAGAGAGTGACTAAGCAATTGTTGGAAAGGATCGAGCCAGAGAGCGATGCAGGCGTTTATTCACTTATATGTGATTTATATGTGTTGAATGGAAAATGGGATGATGCAGAAAGAGTTAGGAAAGTAATGGTTGGTCAAAATGTGAGGAAGGTTAGGGGCTCTAGTTTTATAACAAGAAGTTAAATCCTAGGAAGCTCTGAACACAGGCATTGGCATCGGAAGCAGTCTCAATGATGCTCTGCTCTTTTTTTGCAAGCTGCTGCAACTCTACTTACCAGTCGTATTGCTCTCCTAAAAAACAGATTATGCCAGAGGAGAATGCCTTGGTCTTTAGCGTACACTTAAAATTATCAGTAAACTAATTAGTTTGATTGCTATACAGGTTTTCCTCCAGGTTTGAACCTGAAAATTAAAAATAAAAATTAACATGTTAGTAATCTGCATAAGCTCTAGACTCATCTGGACTGGATGATTGGATCAAGTAAGATAATAGAATATTTGTAAATTGTGCAATTAAATTTGCTTGTCAAATCTCATCATATTTTTGTTGTTAAAACATGGAGTGAAGAGAACACTGAATTCATTAGGGGATGGACAGAGTAGCAATTTTGACAAATTTCTAATACAATCACAATTGTAATCGCATTTTGGTAGATTATGAACTTATCCTCTTCTTGATTAATAGAAATAACAATAAAATAAATAAATAAAACTCGTGTCATTATTGGTCACATTAAATACTAAAAAACAATAATAATATTATTTAATTTATTAGGGTTATGGACGTAATCGAGTCCATGAGTCAATTCAATGTTAGGCACAATGTTAGGTTTGGGGTGAATTCGATTAATAACTTGGAGACACGAGCTCGATTTAAAAAATAATTAAGTTATTCAAGTTCAACTTATTTATACAAGATTGTAATTAATTTATGTTAAAAATTTGAAACTCAATTCAAATTTGAGTTCTATTTTAACAAAAATTTAAATAAAATTTTAAAATATGTACATAAATATTATATATATAATACGTTAAAGATAAAAGACCCTATCTTTTAAAGTTTTGATTGTAATTCTCTATTAATTTTTTTGTCATTAAACCTTAAACTCTATATTAAAAAGTTCAAATCTTCAATAAAATTCGTGATCCATCCCAATCAAGTATTATAAAACTTAAAAGAGTCAAATGAAATCCGAATCCGAATAACTCACAAACAAATTGACTCATTTACACTTCTAATCGGAACAGATTCATCCTTTTTCTATCTATTCGAATATATATTTTATCTTTGGATAAATAAAACGCGCGTATAGGTGGAGGAAAACCTATTCGCGTAGGAGATAAAGATAAAAGCAGCCCTACAACCAAACAGACCTTAAATTTTTGAGGAAAGTTGGCCGCTGATCGGCTATATAAATACAAAATGCAGAAACCCTCCTGGACTGCGGTGAACATAGAGCATAGGAAACCCTAGGACTGGGATTAAGCCAGAGAAAGCTGAAAGGGAAAAAGAAAACAATGGCAAAGTCGCTGAGATCGAAAAGAGAGAAGAGGCTGAGAGCCATAAGGAGGGAGATCGTGGAGCCCTTCTACCAGAAGAAAGATGATGCCAAGCTGGCCGCCCAAGAAGCTGCCCTGACTGCTCCTAAGATGCCCGTCCTTGGCCCAACCCCAGCCTCTACTTCTTCTACTGGTATGCAAGTAGAAGAACAAGTAGCCGCACCCAATTCAACAACAGCCAATTTCAATCTCATGGGTACATACTCAATCCCTTCAATTTCAGATTTTTCATGCTGCTTGCTTGTTCTATAAATTATTATATAATTCATCCTTGCCTTTGGGCTTTCACAGAAGTGGAGATGGCTGACAATGATCAAAGCAAGGCCAAGGCCTCCTTGAAACCTGCCGGCGGAATAGGGAAGAAGTCTAAAAAGAAGTTAAAACTCAGCAAAAAGAAGCGCCATGGCAAGGGCAAGATTAGGGGGAAACGTAATCTTTGACTCTCTACAGTCGACACCCGCTGTTTATGTTTTCTTTTTGTTGGCTTTTTCCCCTTTCTATGTTGTACTCAGCTTTTTTCACTTGGAATTGAATTGCTAATGCCTTAGCTTATTGGCAGTAGGAGTTCATCCATGGTTGTCTTCCATTTTGCAAGTTTAGTTTAGTTTACTCAACTGTATTGAGAGTGGTTTTTATTTCCCTCAAAGGGACTTGAAAATAGAATAAGGCATGGATGGAAAGTAGAATTTGCATATCCATTGTTAATCAGAAAGAAAGCACAGATGAATTTGGGCGGGGAAAGATTGTTGTTGCCCAATGCCCATACCATATGCTCCTATGCAGAAACCAGTAAGTTAAATGTGTTGGTTATGTGTAGAAAATGTTAAGTCATTCATGGTGCTGGTGTGGTCTGGACTTAGAATCGTTGTGCAGGAAGGTTAGTACCCCGTCAAGTTTTTTACTTCCCAAAGTCATAGACTCTGGAAAAGTATTGCCAGTGGATAGAGCACATTGCCTATAGTCAATATGAAACATTTGTGTAGATAAGTGGAAGGCTGGGTCGAATTCCATTTTTGCCAATTTCCTGATTAGAGATGTCACTTTAGAAACTTTTCAAGGACGGTTGGGTTGATGCCCGTGGTTAAATTGTCAATCAACTACTTGCGATGTCTCTGTGTGTGTTTTTTTCTGTTCCGACTCACTTACAGGTGGTTGAATGGGCAAAGAAGGCTTAGACAGGATGGATTAGGTAAACACTCGAGAAAAATGCAGTTCCATGCCATTAATAACTTTAACCCGCAAAGCGGAAGGTTGGCATGTTTAACCTAGGAGAGACAATGCATAATCCAAATGCGATAGTGGATTTGGACTAAAGACAGCATTTAGTTTTGTACAAATATATAGTATTCTTTATTTGAAAGTGCTGTGTTGTCATTTGTAAGACTACTTATGCTTGCAATGCCTCCACCAACACAAGCAGTGTCTATTTGTCTGGGCACTTGGTAGGAAGTGGAGCCCCGCATAGCAATGGATTCCCATCATAAATGGAGGAATCATTGAACTTTGGGAGGAGAGGGATCCTTCCAGAAAAGTTGTTGTATGACAGGTTTAATCGAGTCAAAGAAGCCAGAGATGTCAAGCTTTGCGGGATTGCCCCTGAAAGATGGTTGTGTGACAGATCAAGCGACTCCAGCAGTCGCAAGTTTCCAATTTTCTCAGCAACGTTCTTGCTCAGGAAATTACTCGACAAATTCAAGATGCGCAGTGCTGAAAGGCTTGTGATCTCATCAGGGATTTCTCCTGTAAGGTAATTCCCTGAAAGGTCAATGCTGTTCACATTTGCCTCAACGCTGCTATATTCGGGATCTCTTCCTCTTGTTACCACCTTTATTAGCCCTTCAAATACCTCGCTGCTCTTACCATGGACTAGTGCGGTCAGATTGCCAATACACTGGGGTATGGGCCCTGAAATTTTGTTGTGGGAAAGATCTAATATGTGAAAATTTTGAAGGTTACAGAACTGGTCAGGTATCGGTCCACTGATAAAGTTTGACCTGAGACAAAGCATGAAAAAGGAAGATAATTTTTCCACCCACCAAGGTAGACTTCCCGAAAATTTATTCCCTCCAAGGTCCATGCTTGTCAAACCGGAGCAATTTTGCAACGAAGATGGGATCTCCCCTTCCAGGTTGTTGTTACTTAACAGCAACACACTTAGAGAAGATAGGAAACCAAAGGAACTTGGGATGTTTCCAGTCAAACTATTACTTGATATATCAATGCCCCATAACGTTAATGATCGATACCAACAGTTGGGGAGTTCTCCAGAAAACTTGTTGTTTCTAAGGGACAAAATTTGCAGCCCCTCTAAGTCACACATGGATGATGGGATTCTACCACTCAGATTATTCCTAGAAACGTATAATTTCTGCAGCCGTGGCATCAAGACCCCAATATTTTCAGGTATTGGCCCTGAAAATGAATTTTCTTGAAGGAATACATCGGTTGCATTAGTAGACCAAGGCGGGAGAGGACCGTCAAAGTAATTAGAACTCAGATCAACGACGTTTAAATATGGAAATTGTAACTGGGGCGGCAACTTCCCCCTGATTTGGTTTTGGGATAGAACCAAATAAGTGACTTGAACAGACACTTCTGAAAACCATTTCCCCGGTATGGAGTCAGATATTCCAACATTTTTTAAGATGACAGAGTTAAGTTCATTTTGAACTTGAAGCCATACTGGAAATGAGGGGCCTACCATGCAGTTTTCAAGTTGGATAGACTTAAGTTTGAAAGGAGGAAACCACTTGTAGGACACACTGAAAGCCAAGGAAATTGTAGGGTCTGTGCTGAGACGAACATGCTGTAATCTTCTGAGATTCATTAGATGGGCTTCTTTCAATATACCCTTCCAAGAATTTGCGACAAGGTTCATACCAACTAGCTGTGAGAGTTGCCCAAAGCTTTCAGGAATTGTACCATTCATCATATTATATGACAGGTCTAATTTTCTCAGCGCTGACAAGCTTCCAATAGATGATGGAATTGAGCCCCAGAAAGAGTTGCCAGAGAGGAATAGGTGTTGTAACTGTTTAAGCAATCCTAACGACTCGGGCAGTTCCCCAGTCAATGTGTTAGAACTTAGATCAAGTGACTGTAACTTATTGTTTGGGTTGCTTGAGAAACCACCAAAAAGTTCATGAATCTCACCATGGAAATTGTTTGCAGAAAGATCTAGAATCTGCAGTGTGCTAAGATTTCCAAATAATCCAGGAATTTGACCCTCGAGGTTCAAATTATCAGATAAATCAAGGACTTGGAGATTTTTCATGTTTGCAAATTCAGCGGGAATTGAACCGCTGAAAAAGTCCCATGTCAGATACAGTTCTGTGAGATCGGTGAGATTGAACAACCATCGGGGAACAACAGAATTAAAAGAATTCTCTGACAAATCAAGAACTGAAAGCGAGGTGAAGTTAATGGATGGTAATGACAATGGGAGACCTTTAAGTTCACACCAGTGCAAGCGTAAGTCTACCAAGGAAGGGAGCATATTAAATATTTGCAGCCAATTCTCACCTATGCTATCGAGTTTGGCAAATCCAAGGTTTAGATAGTTTAAAGAAGAGAGAGCTGAAAGCCATTGCAGACTCCCTGAACGTAATTTCCTGAGGCGTGTACTGCTGTACGAGTCTGCATAGAGGTCCAGATACTGCAAGCTTGTCAAATTCCCTAGACGAGGAGGAATCTCTCCAGCAAATGAAGCAAAAGAGAGATTGAGATATCTCAAATTTCGGAGATGGCCAAAGAAGTCGGGAATTTCAAGTCCTTCAAAATCATTCAGGCTAAGGTCCAGATAAGTCAGATATTCCAAGTGGAGCAAAGAATGGTTGATCTTACCTCCCAAACAGGAGCGTTTATATGCTGTTGGATCACCTGCTCCACCATTGATCAACTGATATGGATTTCTAAGGTCGAGCTTGGTGACACGTCCTGTTTGGTCGTGGCATTTGACGCCTTTCCATGTACAACAATCTTGGCCCACCCAGGAAGAGAGCCTGCCGGAAGGGTCGGTGAGACCTTCTCTGAGGCCAACTAGTGCTCTTCTTTCTGCGTCTGTGCATTTGACATCAGCCGAGCAGACGACAAGTTGTGAATTTGATTTGACGAGAAAGAAAAAGAGCAAATATGAAACAAGGAGACGATGAATTGAGTTGAAATCAGCCATTACCACCAAGGCTTCATTGGATCAGCTGCCTGCCTGTGCCAGCAAATTTATGTTGAGTTGTGCACTTGGCACAGTGTCAGATATGGTGTTGGCTAGAGTTTGCTATTTGTCCAGTATTATATATGTGGTGCCATGTCCACTTGCTAAGTGGTGTGGATTGTGGAAGTCAATCAGATTCGGACATGCTAGTCCATTTACAGTGGCTAGAGCTTGCATATCAATTACATGCTAATTATCCAATTCCACTTTGGTATAATAAGTATGCTTAAATTACTATGAGCTCAAACACCGAATTTTCGAGAATGTATTGATATGCATTATTTAAGATATAACATATTGATATGTATTATTTTTTTATTAATATTACGTATTACGTATATGCAGGCACGATTGGTATTAACATTTAGGACCGAAACCATATTAGAAGGGGCCCTTTGCTGGGAAAAAGAAAGGCCCAGCACTTTGGAGAGTGAGGAACCTCGTGTTTGGACTTTGGAGTTCAGGTTCAGAGTGGAAACATCATCGTCATCTTCATCTTTATCTTTGGACATTGATAAACTAGTCTAGAGGTTTCGGCCTATCAGTTTAATCGTTTGTTTTGTATAAACAAAGTTCCAACTGATTTTATATATATATATATATATATATATGAAAAATAAAGCATATTTTAATACTTTTTTTGAACAGTTTTTATATTTAATTAACATAAAATAAAATAATATTCTCAAACCAAGTTGGGGTTTAAAATTCTAAATTTGATTTGAATCCAACATAACTATAATATGTATCCTAGAAGGTAAAAGAGATATTTAATGGATATTCAAATTGCAATTTCATTAGTATTTAAAAATGGAAAAAGAAAGTAAATAAATTATGAAAGTCAGTCAACTTTTGGCGGGTCAATTGTGAATTATGATATAAGCTTATTTTCCATATTATTATCCATCTAGAAATAATTGTCAAGAAAAGAGAAATTGATCTCTTCTCGGTTGAAATGGAAAAAAGAGGGCAATATAGGCACGTTTGAGGGATGAATAAGACGCTTCAGTCCAATCAAAGTTTCTTCCAAACAGATGCTTTAACCCAACTGTCTATCTCATAACATATTTGCTTTAATGCTTTTTAAGTCTTTGCACCTTTAAGCACTCCAACTTGCCTTGCAAGCTCGGCCACTAGTTTCCCACATTGACTCCATCCCTGGACAGAGACTTTGAACAGGTCTTGCTGATACGGCCAAAGCCAGTCGTTGCTAATATTGAAGTTTCCTTTGAGTTCCATGATCAAAATAATTAAATTGAAGCAGGCTTGTTACTTGTCCGGTCATGATGTCAATTAATTACTGGGTCTAGGTCTAGGTCTAGGTCTTAGATTTGTTTTAGAGCAAAAGGTTTGCCCCTGTTGCAAGGGTACGAAGTCTCATTTACTACATACGTAGCTTCTAACTAAGCAAGCCCTGATTTGATTTCAACTTTCAAGTTGATAAAATCAAATCGAACAGAACTTTTAAAGGAGAGAGTGAATGAGTTCCCAATTCTCAGGACAATCAAAACCAGAATAAGCGCTTGCTAAGGTGAACGAACTCAACTACCTTAGTCCCAGTTTCTGCTTAATTAAAATGGAAAAGGTCGTTTTCCCTTAAGATTTAAGTAATCCAATCAAAAGAAACAAACACAGTACGTTACATCAGGATGAGAGAAACCTTAGAAAAATAAAATAAAATAAAGGTAAAAGAAAATTATATTTGGGGAGATGATGTTGCTTTTGCTTAGTAGTTGAGATGTAGCAGCAGCAATGAAAATATGGTAGTTCTGCTGACTTTGTCCACCACCTTCCATCCTTTCTTTCTCTCTGTCGTTTCCTTTACGTCACAGTTAGATTGAGAAAGTTAGGCCATCAGGAAAAGTAGACTCTCTTCCCAGTCCCTATGAATAATAATATTGTATCTATAGCTTTGATTTAATATAAAACTACCATGTATGTATCACAGCGACTTTCTCTCTTCTCTCACGTCTCACCAGTCACTACCCGGGCTGTAGACCCTTGCCAAGAGTCGTCTTCTGAACACGCCTATACTCAATATATCTTTCCCTTCCCCTTTCGTCTCTCCTGTTTCTTTGTCTCTGAAGAAACAAAGAGAATAATTTAAATTACAAGCACAAGTCCAGGGTGTGGAGTCGTTCCTGAAGATGATGACATGCTTATGCATGGTTCGATATTTCAAGAAACTTAGTGCTCTGTTCTTAGCATTCATCCTCGTACTGAGCAGAGTGTCTGCAAGGTTTGTTGTGGAGAAGAATAACATCAGAGTGCTATCTCCGTTGAGTCTGCGAGCAAAGCATGACGGTGCGACAGGTAACTTTGGAATACCAGACTACGGAGGGTTCATTATTGGCTCAGTGGTTTATCCGGACAAAGGGGCTAATGGCTGTGAACCCTTTGATGGCGTGACCTTCAAGTCCAAGCTTCCTCGCCCCACCGTTCTCCTCCTCGATCGTGGAGGTATTACTCCATTCATTCCTCTTCAACGATATTGTCAAAAACCCTGTTTATAGATTTTTCCTTTTTATTTTTTATTTTTTAATTTTGTTGATGCTAAATTCGTTTAATTTGACTTGTTTCATAAGAATTTGAATCATAAGTACCTCTTACTCTTACAATTGCTATTGTACTATTGTTTGGACATTCAAGTATCTTTCTTTTTACCATGTTCTATTGTAATTCTTTCTGGGACTCCCTCTTTTTCTAACTCTTCTGATTTCCATGATTGATTGGTCATGAAATAAGGAATCGTTTCCAAGAACAGGTGGGTGCCGCTTGTGTATATTTTTTTCAACGGATTGGAGTTTTTTTATTCTCTTCCTCCTTGATGAATAGCATGTGCCTACGCATTCGATATATGCAGTTTTGTATTTTGTTTTCAACGGCTTGGAGTCCTTTTTCATTTTTGGCCCCTTGATGAACAGCATGTGAATAGGCATCAGTATAAGTAGTTTTATTAAGGGGTAGGGATTTGTTTTGGTTCTCCTTGCTTGATTTTTTCTTTTCTAATTTACAAATAGAGCCTTCTAGATCAATCTTATCATCAAATCATTCTTGCTTTCTTGTCTTGCACTTGTAGAGTGTTACTTTGCCTTGAAGGTATGGCATGGCCAACAAGCTGGTGCTGCAGCAGTATTGGTGGCTGATAGCATAGATGAACCTCTAATAACAATGGATTCTCCAGAGGAAAGCAGTGATGCAAATGAGTATGTGGAGAAGATTGGAATTCCATCAGCTTTGATAGAAAAGTCTTTTGGTGACAGCCTGAAGGGCGCCCTGAAGAAGGCTGAAGATGTTGTGGTAAAATTGGACTGGAGGGAGTCAGTGCCCCATCCTGACCAGAGAGTTGAATATGAGCTTTGGACGAATAGCAATGATGAGTGTGGGACTCGTTGTGATGAGCAGATGAATTTTGTAAAGAATTTCAAGGGCCACGCGCAGATACTTGAAAAAGGGGGTTACACTTTGTTCACACCACATTACATAACTTGGTTTTGTCCTCCGGCTTTTGTTTTTAGCAGTCAATGCAAGTCTCAGTGCATAAACCATGGAAGATATTGTGCTCCTGACCCAGAACAAGATTTTGGAGAGGGATATCAAGGAAAGGATGTGGTGTTTGAGAACTTGAGACAGCTCTGTGTGCACAGAGTTGCCAATGAGAGCAAGAGGTCTTGGATTTGGTGGGATTACGTGACAGATTTCCATGTCAGGTGCTCCATGAAGGAGAAGAGATATAGCAAAGAATGTGCTGAGGATGTCATGCGCTCACTTGGTAAGTGCTTCCTTCTTTTTTTTTGGGGATTTTTTTTTATCATATCTTCTTTCATTCTTGCTTGATTGGCTTCATATGCTTAACCAGATTTACCAATTGAGAAAATTAAAAAGTGCATGGGTGATCCTGAAGCCGATGTTGAGAATGAAGTCCTGAAAACTGAGCAAGAACTTCAGGTCATACACTTAATTTCTTGTCCATATTAAATTACAGAGTTAAGATTTTAAGATTAATGCTCTTATCTTAAATTAAGCAAAATATTAACTTACTTTTGCTACAATGCGTGTGGAACTATAGGTTGGCCGAGGTTCTCGTGGTGATGTTACCATTTTGCCAACATTGGTTATCAACAATGCTCAATATCGAGGTTTGTTATATAGCATGTTGGAGATTTATATTGCAAAGTTCCATATCATTTTCCCCCACCTTGCTACTAGCTTTATCCTTGCTCTCAGCAATCAATCAAAGAAATCCATTTTCATCTAACAATTTCCTAAAAATGCTTTCAGAGTAAATTTCTATTGAATCACTTAAATGATGCTGAAGTTCTTGGTTTGCTTGCTATGAAGGAAAATTGGACAGAACTGCTGTGCTTAAGGCCATCTGTGCTGGATTCAAGGAGACCACAGAACCTTCAGTTTGTTTAAGTGCAGGTAGATTGAGCCTGCTTATAGTCCTGGGTACAGTACCTTCACATTCAGGAAAGATCTTTTGTATCTCTTATTTAACATTGGCTTCATGTTATTTCGACAGATCTTGAAACCAATGAGTGCCTTGAAAGAAATGGTGGTTGTTGGCATGATAAACAAGCTAACATAACTGCATGCAAGGTAAGACAGAAATTGTACACAATAATGTTATGTTGCAACTGAACAGTGAGACTTTAACTCCATTAAAAGGGATACTTTTACTAATAAAAGGAATGCTGAATTTGTATAGGACACATTCAGGGGAAGAGTGTGCGAGTGCCCCACTGTGAAGGGCGTGCAGTATAGAGGAGATGGATACGTATCTTGTGAAGGTGCAACTTCCCCCTACCGTTAAATGAGATTTTTGTTTAATGAATTTGGACAATTATAGATGATGGTTCTGTTGTGGTTTGGACAAGGGTGGGAATTGGGGTATCTATCTGATGCCTCAATGTTCTGCATTCAGCTTGCATATTTTGGCTTTTCAAATTTTTTAGTTAACCTTTTGAAGTTATTGGTCCTCAATCACATGATTACCTATAGATACTTCTAGAAGAATGAATTATCCAGTTTACTGGCGATGTGACAGATGAAATTTGCTGTTATGGTTGCAAGTTTATGTTACTAGCAGTCCTTTCCGTTTCTTTCTTCATTGTTTATCCCCTTTGGCTGTGAGTTGGGGGTTTGAAGAACGGAATTCTATTCAACTTGCATGAAATTTTAAACTTCTACACAGTGGAAATTTGCTATCTTATCCATCCAAATGGCTACTTACTTTTTCTCATCTATTTACAGCTTTTGGACCTGCGAGATGTACAATTAACAACGGAGGTTGCTGGTCTGAAACAAAAAATGGGTTGACTTTCTCAGCCTGCTCAGTTCAGTGATTTATTCCTTATTTTGTGCTTTCTCCAATGATTTTCTGTTATTCTGTAATGTTTTTTGTAGTTTGACCAAACTTGCTCCTTTGCATAATGCAGGAAAACCAGTTAAAAGGTTGTCAGTGTCCACAAGGCTTCCGAGGGGATGGTCATAATTGTGAAGGTGCTTTGTTCTTCCAGTTTTTACAACTTAAAAGACATTTTATGTCTATTCTTATTCTTAACCCCTCAGGTGTTTAATTTTAAATTCCATCAGAATTTCTTCATCTCCATCTACTGCTTTTGCTTTAGATATCAATGAATGCAAGGAACGAAGTGCTTGCAAGTGTGATGGTTGCTCCTGTAAAAACACTTGGGGTTCATATGAGTGCAAGTGTAAAGGTGACCTTCTGTACATAAGGGAGCAAGATGCTTGCATTGGTAAGACGATGAATTCAAGTTATGACTCTGTATGGCAGAGAATTCCTGTGGCATTCATTTACCCTAGTAAATTAATTTCGCTTACATGTACTTGCAGTTATTTTCTGCATCATTTCCATTTTCAATGCTTTTGATACAGAGTTTTGCCATCTTTTTGGGGAAGAAATGCTGAGTTCATGGTTAATTACAGATAAAAGTGCAATAGTGTTTTCCCCTGCAAACATAGAAGTTCTGATCTGAAATTGTTCATCCTCCTTACAGAGAGAAATGGATCACGCTTTGGGTGGTTCCTCACCTTCTTGGTCCTGGCAGCTGTGGCGGGCATTGGTTTAGTTGGCTATATATTCTACAAATATAGGCTCCGGGTAAATCTAAACTACACATGTTGGTTTCTTATTTTCTATCTTTGATTGATATACATATCTCATTTCTATTCTACCTGCAGTCTTACATGGACTCAGAGATCATGGCAATCATGTCTCAATACATGCCGCTTGACGGTCAACATAACAATGAAGTTCCTAGTGAGGCGCAACATTTGCGACAAGGCTCCGCAGCATAAATGGTTACTAAACCTCGGTTGCTATTTGAGCTAGCAGGCCCCCGTTAGTCATCATGTTCTGTTGCAGATGGAGGTTAAAAGCAGTCAGTACTACGCTTTGTGCTGGTGATCATAGCTATACGCACAGCGCACGCTTGTTTTACAGCTATAGATACAGAAATTTTACTTGACAGATAACAGAGCCCTCTTTTTTATTTTTTACTTTTTTTTCCCCCGCTTTGTAGTTTGTAGATAAAATAGTTGACATGTAAACACGGGTTGAATATCATGTGATGACTCATGATCTGTATTCTATACAAGCAAAAAAAGTAAAAGAATAAGAGAAAAGGGTTGTTGTAAAATTCAACCAGTTCCACGATTTCCAATCATTACGAAAGATTGCTGTTGTTGCAGCTTGTAAGCAGGTCTGAAGTTCCCATTTTGTTATTGCCCCTTGAAACCATGAACTGTGCACAGTTCAGTAACTAAGTTTGTTTTGTACTTCTTCCTCCTGTGGAGCAGGGAGGCTAAATGGCGAATGTAGACTTCAGACTCTGACATCCTCCCATATTACAGTTTCCGACCGAGGGCAAAAAATTCTATAATTTACAATCCTGTTGCTTCGGTTGACTGTCGAACTCAAGACCTCCCGCTTTAAGAGTGAGAAAATGTTTCAGGAACCTAATCCTGCAATAGCAGCTTACCAAATAAGACACGCTTGGAACGCAACCATCACCAAGAAACATGAAGACTTTGAAACCGCTGCAGTTTCAGTTCCTTCTCCCTGCCTTAGCAGCTTCGAAAACCCAACCATCTAAACAACAAATTTTCTCATCTTCCTTTTCGACTATACCAAATCTAACTGATACTTATCTAAACACAAGACCCAAAAATTTTCCAACACTAAGCCAAGAACAAGTCTCCAAAATCAACCTCCTAATTCCACGTCTCTGCCTCTGTAACCACCTGACAACCGCAATCCAGCTAACCACCACCGCGCTACTCACTAACGCTGCCCCGAATCCCAAGTCCCTCTCTGTTTCCATTCTCATCCACTCCCTCACTCTCCAGCCTGACTTGAAACTATCCATGTCACTCTTGACTCGCCTCAACCGCATCCCACAAGCTCACCCACATCTAACGCCCGTCTCCACCATGCTCATTGCTTCTTATCTCAAAAAGGGTAGGCATAAAGATGCCTTAAAAGTATACAACTGGATGCGGAGGCCTGGCTCTCCTTGTATGGTAGATAAGGCTGCCTATGGGATTTTGGTTGGTGGGTTCTGTGCTGGCGGCGTTGTTCTTGAGGGCTTGATGGTTTTGAGGGATATGTTAAAGGTCCATCTGTTGCCAGGGGAAGGCCTCAGAAAAAAGGTGGTTAGGAGTTTGCTGAGAGAGGCTAGAGTTAGGGAGGCAAAGGCATTTGAAGAGTTTTTGCCTTGTGTTGCATGTGTTGAAGCTCTCAACAAGGTGTTGGATTTGCTGGATCACCTCATCGGAAATTGGACACAATAGTACCAGGTATGCTTTCATCCTGTCATATACCCTTTCTAGCCTTTTCGCCTTTCGCCTTTGCAGATTTAATGAAGTTATCATTTTGGAAGCTTGGAGTGATGTAGGTTTGGACAAATGGATAGCTACTTCTGGCCTGGCTCGTCCTGTTTTTTTACCAAGTTGCCAAAGCTTGCGTTCTCTTATAGAAGGGCCAACTGATATGCCGGCGGAACAGAAAGTGTTTATGCTGGGGACCTTATGGAGCGTATATGTGGGCCTTTCTACAACAAAAATATACTCTCAAACTTTTCAAGCTGCATCAAATGCATTATTGAACAGATCTAATAGCTTTTTCCTTCAACCATTTTTTCCACATGTACAAACCTTGGAGCCTTAATATATTGTGGAAAGTACTGAGTTGATACATTCTATTGTTCAGTTATACAACAAATGTCGGAATGGAGAAAATATGGTTAATAAGTACTGTTTAGATAGTATAGCAGTCTTAAGAAATATTACACTTGAGAGCAAAGTCATTTTGGGATCATTTTCACCAATAATCCCCACAGGAACATCTTCCATTCCTGAAATGATGGAACCTCCTCACGTCTCTTAGGATAATTTCCCTATCTGTTATCCTTGAGATGTACTTAGTAGCCTCATGACAATCATTGCAAACTCTGAGGTTCTTTGCTACTCTAATTGTGGTACCAGGAGGGTAGTTGAGAAGACCATAAGCTATTGCCAGTTTCTCACTATGCCCACAAAGCAAAGTTTCTTTCTCCTCCTCATCAACATTATGAAGTACACAAGAAGTATCAGGCACATACCCCTCCTTTCTCATCTTCTCCGAGAGGGTTTCAAGGAATTTATGTAGTTGTCCACTTTGTGCGTGTGATGCATCGCCAGCTAAAAACTTATGAACCTCATCACCAAACTCAATCCAGCTACACCCTGGTTCTTTTCTTACCCCCATTTCCTTCATCTTCTTCCGAACATCATTTGCCTTGTCCCACAGTTGAGCTGATGAGTATATATTGGAGAGTAGAACATAGTGGCTTGCGACATCAGGTTCTAGGTAGAAGAGATTTCTCGCTGCGATTTCCCCAATTTCAACATTTTGGTGAATTCGACAAGAACCAAGCAAACTACTCCAAGCACCAGCCTTGTCAAATTGAGGGGGCATGGTGTTGATCAATTGATATGATTCCTCAACTTTACCAGCTCGGCCAAGCAAATCCACAATGCAAGCATAGTGATCTGGTGTAGGTTCGATCCTGTACTCATCCTTCATTCTATAAAACAAGTTTAGGCCTTCACTTACCATCCCTGAGTGACTACATGCTGCAAATATAGCAATAAAAGTAACTTCATTAGGCTTGACTTCCTTAACCTTAGATGCTTCTGCCACCATACAGTTGAACAACTCCAGGGCTTCTGCTCCCTTGCCATGCATGCCATAAGCCATAATAATGACATTCCAGGTGATTACATTTCTGAGGGGAATGATATCAAAAACTTTTCTAGAAAAATTCAAGCAGCCACATTTTGCATACATGTCTACCAATGCACTTCCAACCCCAACATCTGATGCCAACATGTTTCTAATGGCATATGCGTGGATCTCTTTTCCCTTTGCCAGTGCAGACAAGGTGGCACAACCAGGAAGGACAGTCATAAGGGTTATAGAATTAGGTTTAAGAGGAATTCTTTTCTCATCCTCGTAATAATCTGCACTCTTCTCTTGTTCAACTCTTTGCATCTCATGTAGCAGAAGAAGTGCATTATCATGATGTCCACAAATAACATAACCAGTTATCATTGTGTTCCAAGACACAATATCTCTGACTTCCATGTTGTCAAATATAGTTTTGGAAATTTGTATCTTCCCCATTCTACAGTACATATCCAGAAGTGCATTTTGCACATAGTGGTCACTTGCCAAACCTCTTTTCACTACGTACCCATGAATTCCTTGTTTGTGAACAAATGCTTCACTGCGCATGCATGCAGGCACAATGCTGGCCATGGTGGTGGCATTGGGACAGAGCCCAGCAACTGCTTCCATTTCAATGAAGAGTATCAAGGCGTCCTCATCATGCTCATTTTGTGAATATCCAGTGATCAGAGCGTTCCAAAGACCAGTTTTTTTATCTATGACACAATCAAAAACTTGACTACCACTTTGAACCTTTCTGCAATTGCAATACATATCAACCAAAGCACTGCCAACAAAAGAATTGTCGATCAAAATATCATGTCTCAAGGCATACGCATGAAGTTGTTTCCCAATGTCTAACAGTTCCAAGTGTGAGCAAGCGGGAAGCACGCTTGCAATTGTGACACCGTCAGGTTTGAGACCTTCAAGAACCATGCGGTGTAATAACAGTAATGCTTCTGTAAACTTATCATTTTGAGATAAGGAGCTCAACATGGTGTTCCATGAAACTAAATCACGCTCCTTAAACAACTCAAACAACACCTTAGTATCGTTGAGATGTCCTAGTTTGGAATACATAGTCATCAAAGCATTATAAGTAAAGGTCTTTGCGTCGCCTATTTTTAAACTGTATGCATGAAGCTGCTTTCCAAGCCGTAAGCCGTCACGGCAGGGCAAATTTGAACAAGCATGCGCGATGCTCACCAGCGTAAATGAGCTAGGCTCCACATTATCCAGCAGCATTAACCTAAAGGCCTCTAATGCAGCCTCCCAGTCCTGAAGCCGACAGAATGCAGAAATGAATGAGTTCCAAGAAACGGTATCTCTCTGGTGAATTCTGTCAAACACCTTGTACACATCCGAAATGTACCCACATTTACCATAGAAATTGACCAGGGTATTGGCCACGGTGACGGAGGACGTTCCAAAGCCGTAACCAAATTTGAGAACTTGAGCATGAATCTGTTTTCCCAAGGCCAAGTCGTGAAGAGCCGTGACGGCCTTGAGGACAGCGGGGAAAGCGAAGTGATCAGGTGGGACACCGGAGGAAGACATGCTGACATAGGTTAAAATGGCTTGGTGGAACTGGTTGGATCGGGTATTTGATCTCAGAGATTCGGTCCATGAGCCCTGAGACAGAGAGCGGGTCTTAGCGGGGATGGGTTGGTGGGTTTGGATGGACGGGATTGGAGTTGGAGGAGGAGCAATAGCAGACAAAGAGAGGACAGGGCTGGGAGAGGACATTTGGTAGTTATTACCGTTGCTGTTGACCCTTTGACAGTTCACAGAAAGGAGTTGGTTAAATGGATAGTTGAAAGAAATCGGGGAGGGCGTGGGGCCACTTTAGGTTCAGGGTGATCCACTCTTCCAATCCAAGGACCAACCAAGGTGCAAAGATCCAAATCGTTAGCTTTGGCATTATGGAAAGGGAATTCATGTTACTTGGCTCTTTGTCTTCGGCTGGAGGCCAGAGTCTGGTGTAAAAGACTCGAACAAAAGAAACAAGATGCAGAAGAAAACAGACAAGAGTCCTTGCACGGGAACTGAACATTATCTTTTCTGTTTTTCCTCTGAAGGGCAACAACAGCATTTCATTGAAGAGCTGGCAAGGGGGTTGCCAGAAAAAATGCATAGAGGGTAGAAAAATATGCCTTCTGCTGCTAATCCCCGTTACAAAGAGACCTAACTAATGGGCTACACAATTCAGCCAGGAAACAAAGTCCCCTGTTACAAATGGCAACACAGAAAGTATTCACGCCCACCTGTGCATGCAGAAATAAAAATAGATAAAAAACACAGAAGAGTGGCCACAACGGATTTGCTATAAACTCCCCAAAATGAATATCCATCTTCCATACTAAAAACTTACGGAAAAGGTAGGAATGAACTGGAAACCATGGTATGTCATTACCATCAAGTCACTGGCAGGCGAAGCCTTAAAGTACTGAAGACAATTTACCCGGAACTGAACAGTATCTTTGTCTAAATTGCGGAGAGAAGAAGAAGAAGATATGGAGAAGATTTCATCGTCAACCGAAGCTGCTGCTGCTAAGATATCATCAATCTTTATGTACTCAATAAAATCATGCCATTTTCTCAACTCTATGAATCAAATTTTTTCTGTATTTTGGGGATAATTCACCATTTTCTCACTATCCGTGTGATTTCTTTCAACTTCAGTTAAACCTGGTTTCTCTCAAAAACTTAAAGAGTGGAAGCAAAACTTCCAAACACATTGTAAGAAAACTTGAAGAATCTTTTAAAATAAACAGTCCAGCTATCTTGACTGGGACTGTTCACTGGCCCCAACAATTTGTCAATCTGTTCGATTTGTTCTTTGTGGCTGACCTGTTAAGCGAGGATAATTTCTAATCTTACATTCGCTGGATGACGGGCACACAGGATTTCGATGGGATCAGCAAATTACTGAGGGGCAGGGAAAAATATGGTCAAATTGGAAGATCCTATTTTTGTCCTGCAGATAGTCTCCTCTGCTTCTGTTGCAGCAACTTGAATGCCGAGTGCTGAACATTATCTTCAATTTCTCTAGTCTAAGAAAAAGGTGGAAGTCTTGGGGACTCACCGAGTCAATGTCAATGTCAGCGTCAACAAACATAGGGTGGCGCGAAACGGCTGCGTTTGCATGAGTAGAGTTACTTAAATACCAAAGGCATCGGGCTCTCGTCTCTCAGAAGCCTAAGCCGAAGGAAGTTCCAAAGTCCAAATCAAACTAAACCACCTATCCATCTCCAATCTACATGTTCTCCGGTCGGCTGTCGGCTCAAAGCTTGGTGCTTAAATTAAACTGACACTTGTAGAGAAGAGAATTAGAAAAAATTTGTTGAATTTTGAATCACGTGCCATTGCCAACGTTCGTTAATTACATGCACTGAGCAAAAAAGTTCGTTACATGCTCAGACTGTACCCCACGATGACAAAGCTCCTTACCAACTCAATCTGCGGTTGCAGGTGCCTCTCTTCATTCCCTAGTAAGGTTTCCCGAGCCCAGCCCACCCCTCTGTCCGATCAACTTTTCAACTCGGCCCCCCAATCCGGTTCTTTCAGATTGGGCGATTCCACTTGCTATTCCCTCATTCACCATTATGCCCACAAGGTTGATTTTGCTTCTTTACACCATGTTTTATCCCGGATGAAGCTCCAAAACCGAGTTTTTATTGAGAAGTATTTCCTACTCATCTTCAAGGCTTATGGGAGAGCCCATTTACCCGAGAAAGCTGTAGACTTGTTCCATAGGATGCCTCATGAATTTCATTGCAAACCCACTGTTAAGTCCTTTAATTCTGTTCTCAATGTCATCATACAAGAGGGTTTTTATCATCGTGCTTTCGACTTTTATAACTGCTCTGTTAGTGCCAAGAATACCAATATTTCTCCAAATGTGCTCACTTTTAATTTGCTTCTTAAGGCCATGTGTAAGTTGGGATGGGTCGATCGTGCAATTGAGGTGTTTAGAGAAATGCCTCTCAGGAAGTGTGCGCCCGATGTCTATACTTACTGTACCTTGATGGATGGATTGTGCAAGGAGGACAGGATTGATGAGGCTGTTTCCTTGTTAGATGAGATGCAAACTGAGGGTTGCTTCCCTACCCCTGTTACCTTTAATGTATTAATTAATGGGTTATGCAAGAAGGGTGACTTAGCTCGTGCAGCAAAGCTAGTGGACAATATGTTTCTCAAAGGTTGTCTTCCTAACCAAGTCACTTATAATACACTCATTCATGGTTTGTGTCTGAAGGGAAAGTTGGATAAGGCGGTTAGTCTTTTGGATCGCATGGTATCGAGTAATTGTATTCCTAATGACATCACATATGGAACCATCGTTAATGGTCTTGTTAAGCAAGGAAGGGTGGAGGATGCAGTTGTGCTAGTGGTTTCTATGGAGGAAAGAGGGTATGGAGTGAATGAGTATGTTTACTCATCCCTTATTAGCGGGTTGTTCAAGGGTGGTAAGTCTGAGGAGGCAATGAAACGATGGACAGAAATGATGGAAAAAGGATGTAAACCAAACACTGTTGTTTACAGCTGTCTTATAGATGGCTTGTGCCGAGAAGGAAAGCCAAATGAAGCTGAGGAAGTTCTATCTGAAATGATAGACAAGGGTTGCATCCCTAATGCTTATACGTATAGCTCCCTGATGAAGGGTTTCTTCAAGACGGGCAATTGCCATAAGGCAGTTCAGGTGTGGAAGGACATGGCAGAACATAAATGTGTTCACAGCAAGGTTTGTTACAGTGTATTAATCCATGGCCTTTGTGAGGATGGGAATCTCAGTGAAGCTATGATGGTGTGGAGACACATGTTAGATAAAGGTTGTAAACCCGATGCAGTGGCTTACAGTTCAATGATTCAAGGCCTCTGCAATGCTGGCTCATTAGAAGAGGCTTTGAAACTTTTTAATGAGATGCTTTGCCAGGAGGCTGAATCTCAACCAGATGTGATCACCTATAATATACTTTTTAATGCTTTATGCAACCAGAAAAGCATCTCCCATGCCATTGATCTCTTAAATAGCATGCTGGATCGGGCCTGTGATCCTGACATAGCAACATGCAATATATTTTTGAGAACGTTGAGAGAGAAGATAGACCCTCCTCAAGATGGGAGGGAGTTTTTAGATGAGCTTGTTATCCGGCTATTTAAGAGGCAAAGAGTTTTTGGTGCTTCCAAAATTGTACAAGTGATGCTGCAGAAATTTTTGCCTCCAAAAGCATCTACTTGGGCAAGAGTTGTCGAAGAGCTCTGCAAACCTAAAAAAATTCAAGCTGCCATTGACAAGTGTTGGACAAACATATACTGTTAATTCTTTTTGGTTGGGATATCTTTTCATGGTTACTTCTGAAAGAATTCTTCGTCACCAAGCAGGATGCATTTCTTTTCCCAATCATAGTTATGTTGAAGAATTATTATTGAGGATGGACCTGCAAAATATTATTGGAGACACACATCAATCTGTTTTCTGCAAAGCGTCCTCCCTAGACATGCTTTGAAACTCACTTTTAACATGTAATCTTTATCTTGAACGGGAGATAGTCCGGTCCTCTTCTAATTTCTGTCACTATACTCTACAAACACGGAGAACGTGGCTGACAATCAGGATGCTTAAGAGTTTGTAAAAGGAGGTTGGAGGTTACTGACAATGCAAGGTAAACGACTTATGGGCCTTGCACATATGGGTGTTCACTTTTTGTCATTTGACCTAGCTTGAATGCATGCAGTAACGTATGTGCGCATGTATCTACATATATATGGAGTCAGAATGAATTTTTTAGTATGTGCAGTTGCTACGAGTGCACTTTGCCCAAGGTGCAGAAGCCAAGCCACATTAAAGGAGTTCGAAAATCAGGTAGATCTTGAAGCACTTTACATTTATTTCTTTTATAAGCATTGCAATATGCCGCAAACACATATTGGGCTTCATAATTAATCAAATGAAAAGCAGCCTCTATAACACTGAAGTTTCAAAAAAAGAACACTGAATTGTATCAGCTTTGTAGGTCAATTGCATAAGTGACTTGCAATTCATTGTTGCATACCCCCTCTCCTCCCCTGACCCAAACATACATGCATAGATGGAAACTGCAATTGACTAAATAAAAGGCTGCATAAAATTATTATTTTGGTGCCTAAATGCAGAAAATGATTCCAATGTCCTGAAGGCGAAGTACTATTTTTTGCTGCCTGAATATATTTTATTGAGTCATGCTTTTAATTGTTTCATACAAGTAGATTTTTTTGGGGAGTAACATTTATAATGATTTGATCTTAACTGTAAAACAGAGGACTCATAGCTGATGACAGCAGCATTGAACATTATGAAAATCCTACTTTAGATGGTGCAACACAATCAACTTGACAGAAGAGAGTGTTGGACAGTGGAACATGATAAACTAAGCCTATGCTTTCCCTGCTTCATCCTCATCCTTAACCTTCAGGGCCTCTAGCTTTTGTTGTTGATGGGCCATATCATAAGTTGCATGGAGACCAACAAGAATGTAGTAAACCAGCATTACTACTGTACAGATTCCAAACCTTATAAAAGCCTCAGATCCCAAAGACCCCATCAGGAAGATATTTGTTGCAATTGACAATGATGGAAACCATGGAACCAGTGGAACCCCCCAAACTTTAGGTGTCCTCTGCTGGGGCAGAAATATTGACATCCCCATAGTTCCGAGGAACCAAAGGGGAATTGTGACAATGTATCCCATCCATCCATTAGGCCTTAGTCCCCAGTAGGCTGAAGTTCCCATTGAGGAAGCAATAATTATAAGCAGGAATAGTACAAGCTTCTGGAGGTTTATATGTGGTGTGATGTCCCTCACATAGTATCTCCTCACAAGAAGTGCTACAGCCATCATCATGAATATAAATAGAGTGCTCACAGATAGCAAGCTTGCCAAGACATCCAAGCTTGAAAAGAAGGCAATGAGACCACTTGAAATAGCTATCAGAAGCGTGGCATATATTGGAGTTCCAGTTTTTGGATGGACAAGTGCAAACCATGGAGGGATCATGTGTGCTCGTGCAATATGAGTAGTATATCGTGCCTGTCCAAGTGCCCCTACCAGAAGGACAGTGGTCATCCCCTTAAGGGCACCAAGAGCTACTAGGTACTTCGCCCATTTCATTCCTACACTCTGAAATGCCACAGGATAAGCAGCATCTGGATCTAAATCGCTGTATTTTTGCATCGTACTTAGGGAGAGTGCCATCAAGCAATATATGACAGTAATGATTGACATTGATCCAAGTAACCCTAAAGGTATGTCTCTTGATGGGTTTTTTGTTTCTTCAGCCATGGTGGCAATGTTATCAAATCCACCATAAGCAAAGTAAACAATAGCAGCTGCTTCAAAGATCCCTTTGACTCCTTCAGGCAAAAACGGTGTCAAATTTGATGTGTTGGCATGAGCAAACCCTGCAATTATCACAAACAAGATTATGACAGTATTCAGTGCAGTTGCTATCCAATTTAATTGTGAAGTTTTCCTTGTGCTGATCATTGCAACGGTTGCAGAAATTGCCAAAACTGCAACTGCAATGGGGTCCAAGAGATTATATCCCTTTCTGAAATTTGTATGGATACGTAGTGAGTTTGGTTGACGGTTCAGGAGAGTTGTGAAGTAAGAAGTCCATGCTCTGGCAACTGCTGCACTTCCAACGATGCTTTCAAGAAGTATGTTTCCAGCTGTGATGAATGCCACGAAATCTCCTAATTCAATTCTTAGATAAGCAAATGATCCACCTGCCACTGGGATCTCTACTGCAAACTCTGTATAGCAGAATACAGAAAGCATTGCCGAAATACCTGAGGCAACATACGACAAGACAATAGCTGGTCCAGCATGATCGTGAGCTTCTTTGCCAGTGAGCACAAAGATGCCTGCTCCAATAACGGACCCAAATCCAAACCAGGTAAGATCCCACCAGGTGAGGCAACGTTTCATGTCATTCTCACTTTGTTTTCGAAGTTCTGCTATCTCATTGGCATCATCAGAGCGGCTTATAAGACGGTCCTTGAATCGGAAACATATCTGTGATAGAGCTGATCGATAAGTGTTCCAATTTTGGAATGATTCTTCTGGTAAGAATTCATCTTTGCCCCATCTCCAGTAGGTTCTATGTTGGAGCTCATCACCTTGTTCCGCTATGGAACTCATTGCCTTGTTTCCTTGTTTCTCACAGGTCTTTTTTTTGGGTGTAAACTACTTAAAATTCAGTTATTGATTATTGTAGCCATGATTTTGGGATCCCTGACACGGTGGTTGACTTGACGTTGAAGATTGAGACAAAAATGGGCTGTCTCTATACTCTGCCATTGTCACTACAACTTGCCTGACAAGGTACTGATCTTTTGGACTGTTGCCAAGTGTAAGACCTCCATTTCGTCCACTGGCCACTGCTACACAGCATTAAAGTAAGAGACGCAAGGTCAAGGATATTTTAGAGAGTATCAAAGTAATAATGTGTAAGACAGGCTAAGGAATCTATATCATGTGCAGTCTCATGTGCTATTGATCGAATATCCAAAAAGGATTAAAAATTGTGAGGGATACCAGCCATAGTACCAATGATAGAGCCAATGCTCATGGGCATCCATTTTCTGCCTTATCCTATTCCTAGTCATTTGTTTTGCGTCGAGGTCAGGATTCGAGGGCCTCACTCTATGATTCCATTGGAAAATAAGAACAATAATACTCGCAAAATTCAAAACCAAAGTCATGCTCTTGGCGTAATATTTGCAAAACAATTAAGAGTTTCCCAAGAAATAGTTGAATTACATGGAACTGCTTTGACAAGTCAAACTGAAATGAACCCTTGTACCACAGTTGTTAAAAACAGGCAACCACTCAATAATTGACTTGGAAATTCGATGCGCTTGCTTGTGTTTTGGCTATGGAACAAAGCCGTCAAAGTCAAGACAACCTGCTTTTTCAAATGCCAGAAAATATCATTGACCACATGCCTCATCCCTGGACCCTTTCAGCTCCACACATTGTCTGTCATCTTGTAGATATCCATTTTTCTGAACGGAAACAGGATGCTGACAAGGTTATTGCATCCATGTCTGACAATAACATAGAAGCTGATTGGATCATTGCTCAAATAATCAAAGACACCTTGGATGAAGTATTGAGTGCTTGGATTCCTTTTTGCTTCTCAGTAGACACCGTGAACAAAAATCGTGTAATATTTTTGCTGATAATGGCAGCTTGGATTTATTTGCAGTAATTTCCAACATCTCTATCCCTATTGGCCTTTCAACAGAGGGAGTTCTTTTGCCCTCTGAATGACGAGTTTATTCGCCAGAGGGACTGACAAAGGAAAATAATAATAATCATAAGTCTGAGAAAGACAGCATGGTACCCTCATTTTAACAGTAATCACAAAATAACCAGTTGCCTGCCTGTCCCGCTCGCCTTGGCTTTTAATTTAAATGCAAAGTATCATGTCCATGATCTCCAAGCCTTCTCCATTTTATTGGTGACATAACTAGCAGCTTTAATACCACCAACAGTCAATAGACCAGATAGTGCTTGCCTTGCACTTGAAACCATGACTGTTCGCCTCAAAACCTTCTGCATGCATTTTGCAGCCTCTTCTCTTGACCCAATAACAACTTCATGCAACACCTGACCTGAAATTAGAATCTTGTCAAGAAAACAATTACCCAATTTTTTGCCTACAACATAGTAGCGACTATTGTTCACCAATTATAGCAGCAGTAGAATGAAAAAGCAGAGGAAAGTTAGCAATGTTTTCAGCACTCAACAGAGTGTGAGTGTATGTTCGTACCAGATTCACTAATTACTTTCTTCTTTCCTAGCTTTATCCTCATTTGACTTCTAATAGTTGGAGGAAGAGAAGACACGTGTGAGCGAGCTACTGTTAAGCCACAATCCTGATTTCAACCAAGAATATATCAAAATCAATGGACCCAATGATAATGTTATCCCATATACAATTCCATCAGTCTGGCATGAAAATAAGATAGCTTTGCCTAATAGATATAATTTCATGTCAAGAAAGCTTCTTATACCATTTACAACTGTTTCATATATGATATGAAAGCCACAACTACAATAAACAATCAACGACATACCTTTACAGAACAACCTAAATACTAAAGAAAAACCAAATTTACATAATTAGCTATGTGGGCTGCAATACTAATGCATATAGGATAACTTCAGGATGCTAATTGTTCTTTGTTCCGTAGAAATCAGCCCTGAACTTGGGTCAGTACACCCGCTTGGTGCTTTTTACTCATTTGCTTTTTCACCAATCAAAAAAAGAGAGCACATAAAAGAACACAGGCACTTCATTCTCTAGCAAAGCTTTTAAAATATTGTTTGAAACTTATTTAAGCATGTGAGCACTAGATGAGATCAAATGTTAAGCTCCATCCACAAAGAAAACTTGTAATTAAATTCACATTAGAGAACCAACTTTGGGTTCATCAACTGAACTCGTAAAAACCTGAGATATATGCGCATAGTGATTTTCAGATGATGAGAATCTCAAGAAGCCTTTGCCTTCATACTCTTCAAGAAATGGCTTATACATGGACTGGAATAAATCAAACTGCCCTTGTACAATCTTCTTCACCTGAATCAAATATATATATATATATATATATAAGATATTACAAATAGAAGAACAGAGAATAAGCAAGGAAGCAACTGTTTCTGTAATTTGTTATGCTTTACATTCAAAACTGTATTAATGAGTATTTATACATCATGTACAAGTAAAAGAAGAGTTACAAGATAGAAATATAAGATATTTATTTAATAATACAAACTTATAAGGTAGTGCTACATGACCAAGAAAAATCTATAACCTGTTAGGCTGTAAATTCAAAACTGATTTCCCTCCACTAAGAGTGACCTCAAAATGTTTTTACTCTCATATTCTTATTTATACAGCATACTTTTCAGGGGCATATCCAAAATGTTATTGGAGAATAACTGGTATTTGGCAGGAAAAAGCGCTTATCAGTACAATTTAAAAATTTTCCTAAACTATTCTGCAACTTTGACAAACAAAACCAATGTAAAATTTAGAAACTAGACTGCACTGTCAAGAGCTAACTTACTATAGACTTTCCTTCAAAATTTCTACCTTAGATGCACTTAAGTTTTACCTTATTTCGGTCTTCTGCAAATAGCATACGCAAGTCACCCATGTATGACAGGCTACATATTTTGGCATAAAGGTCTTCCTGCATGAAGATGGAACAGATTACAAAATGTGGTAATTTTAAGAGGAAAAACAGCAAAGAAGCAAACCTCTATGAATTTGGGTGGCAAGAGGAGGAGAGCAGCGGACACTGCAGCTCGCAAATTAACAGAGTTTACATTTTCAATGTCCAAATTATCCACGAGCATATTTACCTAAACCACGAATAGAGTGTGAGAATACTAATAAGCCCCAGTAAACAACATAGGTTGGATATGACAACCAAAGGTGAATTCACCTTCATTTGGCAGATCAGAAGACAAGGGATGAATTCAATGTAAACATCAGAAAAACATTAGCACACAATTTACAGTAAGTTACAACGTGTATCCTTTTTTATAAAACTTTATTCAAAGAAAATATAAAACATCTACATAGAAAACAAAAGAGAAAAGCACACCGGTTTTTGTAAACGACCACTCAAGTAGAACCTCTCCCAGTTTAATACGTCCTGAACCAAGTCATGCATTCGAACAACTCCATATTTCAGCATCTGCATACAAGAATATGCTCAGAGATGAAGCACATGCCTGGACGTTGTACAATATGTGCATACATAACAAATTAAGATTTAATAGTAATCAATGTATATATACATATAATCTATCCCTAGAACCATATTAAACTTAAGATCCTATATTGTCAATAGTCAATACCTTGTTATCCCAAGTAACAAACGGGTTAAAGTGTACTCCTACTCCTATATCGTCTGCAACTTCAGTAATCTACAACCCACCAATCTATAGTGTGAGCTGATGAAGTAAATAAATAAATAACTGTGTGTAGATGAGAGAGAGAGAGAGAGAGATGAGAACCAGTTTTGCCCCACCAAGAAGCACCATCCATGACGCGTAATGTTCTGCATTCATTTTTAGATTCTGGGTTAGACAAAAAAAGAATAGATTAGATAGATGAAAATATAAGGGAAAAAAATCACAATGTAAAAGAGTTGGTAAATTGTTGTGCCATAGCTTAAAATCTGAAAAACTCACCTCAGAATGCCATTGCAGGGGATCAGACACGCCGAGTATGAAATCTACCATGGTTGACTAGAAAAGCAAAATTGTGAATGCAAAGAATAAAAGAAGAAAATTTTGAAAATGCTAGTCGAAATGGAGTTATGGTGAAAAGACCAACCTTGTCATGATTGGTTGAATGGAGAGCTGAGCCGTAGAGACAGCAGAAGTCTACCGGAGGAATAACTTTGAGAAAGCTCAAGAGATGACCTTTCTTTTCATCATCCATTCCTACTTTAGTTGGTTACTCGTCACTTGCCGTTGCTGAGCAAGAAAAGGTTGGACTTTAGTGCAAACCCAGTTTCAATTACGTTTGTTGAATGAAAATCAATGTAAAATTTGCTTCCTTAAGTAACAAAGAAGAAAAAAATAAAGGTTCCTCAACAGGAACATGTTACTGTTAGTTCAAGAGTAAAGCCTAGAGAGTTGGGAGAGCAAATTCATTCGACATGCTGTATAAAATCAGCAAGAAGACATGGTTTACGAAGCGTACTTGGATGTTATCGGTGCTGACACCCATAACTTAATTGAGTTTGCTGCTTCAAGCATCGAGGGTTTAAGGGTTTTTGCCTTTTCGGTTGGATTGTGGAAGAGAAAGTGCCGTGCTAATCAGGCTGACGTTTACTGGGCCTACATAGCCCCGCTGAGTAGGGTTAGCCCATCGGTCATCGAAATTGCCTTTTTGCCTTATCTAATATTGCAACCAAAACAACAATGGCGAAGATTGAAGAATATGACATAAACCAGAGACCTCGGGAGAACCCCTTTCCGTTTACAGTTTACTGATACTGATATCACATACAACTCCCAAGGGCATTTTCAATCTGCAGCCTCTGTTTGGAATAAGTTCAGGCATAAACGGACTTCCTACTGAAAATAGGCTGCTTTCATGGCGGGATGTCCATCAATGGGGATTGTCTTTTTTCGCCAACAAGAGATGGGAACTGGAGATCACATGTTTCTTACATGTGATTATTCTGACAACATTTGGCGGCAGTGCTGCAAGCCTGTAAAATTTGCAAAGAAGTTGCAGGCTGGAGGGAAGAGCTGCAACGGGCAGTTAGGAGGCTCCAAAGGAAAGCACTCATACCTCTCATCCTGCATATTGGCCAGAGTGCTTAATTCAAAACGAGTCAGAACAATATTGGGATGTCTTCCTAATTCCTAGCGAAAACCTTTTGTTATTTAAAAAACTTCACACTTTTAGGTTGAGGAGTGCTCGTAATTGACGCAGCTCAGTTTAGCGGCCCAAGCTCGGCAGCAAATTACTCATATCAAACAAGTTTATTCAAATTCAAGGCTGTATATTACTACCATTTCAGATGATGTCTATAGATAAATCAATAAAGATTGCATCCTGGCTTCAATTCTGTTGCATGAGTATAATGTTAAAATAGAGACTGGAGAAAGAAATAGCATCTTCTACAACCAGAGACACTAACATTGTTACTGATAAATAAATTTGCATTTCTTCCCCCACCCCCAGCCCCACCCCCAACTAAATCACAGCAAAATTCTAGATGCTCATAGGGTGTGAAAACAGGACATGTAAACGAAACTCAGAGGAAGAAACCAGATGGTAACTGGTAAGTGATATCATCACATATTTATCAACCAAATGGTTAAAACAATCACAGATGACAGCATTCAGGCAGAAAAATAGCCCCTTAACAAGTTAACTTCCCTGAAGAAAGCAATTCTTGCACTGCCACCAAGTCAGGAAGAACAATAGCGCCAGATTTTCTCCACTCCACAGCATCAGGGGTTTTGAACCTATCCAATAGCAATGCTTTCATTCCCACACTCTTTGCTGGGACATAGTCTTTGCGCATGCTGTCACCAATGTGTAAAGTCTCTTCTGGTGCAATATTTCCAGCCCTTTCAAGAGCAATCTTATAAATCCTTGGGTCTGGTTTTTCTACACCTTCAAGACCAGAGAACACACCAAAGTCCCACTCGGATCCCTAAATCACCATATAGATGTGACTTTCAGATATAAACACCAGATTAAATTACCTAGTCAAATCAATGAGTGAAATAACCACTGACACAAACAAGCTAACTATTCCAAATCATCGGTTCTCAAGTACACTTTGAGGTTTACAGCAACATACTACTTTCACTATTGCACGTGCATGCTTGAGGTTATATGAAAAAATATAAAGGGGGGGTTACCACCTATCGTGTAACCATGAGTTGAAACCATGGAAAACAGAGAACAAGTTAACAGGTTTTCAACCCCAACAAAAATCAAACTCGTTTCCTCAATCTCAACTGGATCAAAAAAAAAATACCAAACATAATAAGAATCACAGTCCAATAAGATATCATCAATCGAAATTTCAATAAATTGTTTACCTGGTTCAAACCCAAGGCTGGAAGAATCACGTCCTGGTAACGATATTCTGCATTGCTTATAATCCCCACTTTAAGACCCTTTTCACGAGCCCATCTTAGGAAGGGTTGGGAGTCTGGAAAAACTGTATATGGTGCAGATGAGCCAAAGGAAGCATATATGCGTCTAAATATCTTCTCAAATGTCTCCTCATCATAATCAAACCCTGCCTGTCAGCAAAACAAGACTCATGTCATAACAAGGAATCTCTCTCTCTCTCTCTTGCTCTGTGTATGTATGTATGTATGTATGTATGTAATAGAAGTATGCAAGATTTTCTTTGATAGCCTAATATAAATATCTTACCCTGACAAATGAATCCCTAACACAAGTTTTCCACCATACAATATTTGGCATTTTTGCTGCAAACCCAAAACACGGATACTTCTTTGCCATCTCTGTATATGCAAACTTGAAACCTTCATGCACACTTTTATAGTCAGGGCATGGCAGTCCAACAGCTTTGGCTGCCATGCAATAGTAGTCACCAAGCTCCCCTTTGTAAGCTATGAGAGTACCAGTAACATCCACAGTGATACAGCGTAACCTGGATAATAGGGACATTGCAATAGCACTTGTGCACAGGGTTTTCAGAATTTGACCAAATGCAAAAAATGTAAGTCAAGAAGATTTTGATTCTTCTAGGATCTTTAAGTAATTTGTGATGTAATGGATTGACCTGTTCCTCGGTCAATCTTCACAACTGCATAATTCAAAAGTGTGGGTCATGATTAGCAAACAAAATTTTGCAACCATAATGCAACACGAACAATGAACCATAGAAATATAATCTAAATCTCATCATCAATCAGTGGTTAAAGAAAGAAAAATGTTAACAGTGGGCAAGAAGAAATTATACAAGAACAAATCATATGCTTTACCTTGTGACGAGTTTTGCATTTAGATAATGTCACATAAATGTGGAAATACAGCAACAGGAACAACGAAGATCAATTACAAAAGGTCTATGAGTAGGAAAACAAAAGAATAGAAATTAAATTGAAATGGCAACTAAACATCAAAATCAAGAATTGAAATGACAATTGCAGATCTTTTTGCAGGGAGCGACAGCTATCAATGATTTTCAGAGCTTTATCCCAGGACTAACAACTATTGAGATAGAATGAAGACATTGCTAAAGGCATGCACATGAGCACAAGTGGTGCTAAAATCAAAGGTATTAAGATGAAGGTCAAAAAAAAAAAAAAAGCACTGAGTTCATTTTGACAATAAGAGACTAGGTTTACACGTCTATGCACAGGCATTTGACTGTGCAAAAGACAAAAGTCTCATATGATCCAAGAAGTCCATTGCTTCAGAGTAATTTGGGACAGAGCAATGCAAGCTAGTAGATATCTCGGATTTTGGCCATGTTACCTTAAATAAAATGATTTCCGAAGAAATATATCCAATATCTAATTCAACAGCAGAAGGCACATGACAGTTTAATACTCAAATGATCCAGTCAGAAAATGCACCAGGTCAAAGCAAGCAACTAGGCAAAAATACTAGGAGGTGGTAATTGAGCCTAGACAAGTGGTCAGTCATAGAAAAAAAATGAAAAGGAAAAAGGGGTTTCATAACTAAACATAAAGGCCTAAAATGTACAAACAAGCATCACTAGCATAACCTCAATCATAGTCCGACAGTTAAGAAGAGTTGAGATGCTCTCTTCTGCTAAGAATTGAATAAAAAGTCACATGATATTATATCTGAGTTACTTTACAACAGCCTGAAAATTTATAAACAAATCACAACAGTCCTTGACAAAAGAAAAGCGATTTTCTAAGAGACCAGAGTCCTACCCTGTCACCGCTTGAGTACCTAAATCAAGCATTGCTAGCTCTAAAGTAACAACGATGATCTTTTTAATGTTGTATACTACTTAGCCAAGAATATCACGAAGAGCACAAAGAGTTTGCAATCATAACTACTATGAAGAAAACTTCAAATTCCCGTCTGTTAACTGAAGATGATTGCATTATTTGCTAGCGTAAACTATAAAGTTATGAACCCTTATTGTATCCAATATCATTGTGCTACAAAGGACGTGGAATTGCAAAGGGATAACTAAATCGGAATTCAGCAAACAGCAAAGACTAACAGCATGCGTTTCACTTTCATAATATATAAGACCAATATACTCAGCACAACTGCAAGATGTCGTGACAGAAAAAATGACAAAAAACTAAATCCAACCCATGATTTCAATAGAGCAAATGAAGACTTATGCAAGCGAAAAAGGAACAATTATGAGAAAGAATTTGAACCAGTATCGGCGGCCCCTGAACCTTGAACAACAATGCAGAAAAACCAGTTCAGCTCTACTCTGGTGCAGCAAGTTTTGATTTTTCTTTTGCTTATTTTGATGAAAAAAAATGACCACTTGTTCTAAAGATTCAAAAGGTTATAAAAAAAACACATCCAGATAAATGCATTAGGTGGGAAAAGAGGCAAAAAGCAACAGAAGAGGGTTAAGATTCAAGAATGGAACCAGAGAAAAGGGGAACTGCAAGCTAAATGTGGAATCATAGCTGGAGATTGAAGACAAACAAGAAGGGAGATTGAAGATACCCACAGGAAGAAACGAAGGAGTATCTGGATACTTGGAATCGCCACCGTCTTGTTCTGTTTTAGGAGTTAAAAGAGCCTGAGCTCAACTAAACTAGAACAAATCAAATAAACATACAGCAGGTACACTGATATTCCTGGTCTTTTCCTTATATGACGCAATAATTGAACATGTGAGAGAGAGAGAGAGAAAACAGCTGCGTCTTTTCCGAGGATTTTTTTTTTTTTGTCGATGTTGGTAAGTAGTACTTTAAAAAAGAAGAGGAAGATCCCTCTTTACTAGTTGTATAATTTTTCTTTTGTTGGTTGATCCAATTTCATTTTCTCCTCTTTTTCCTAATTACCCTCATGATTTACCCAGTTTTCCTGTAAAATTCGAACGTTGTGATCACCATGGTTTTGTCAATGGCTCTCAAATCTAAGTGGGGAGTGCAGACCAATGAAACTTATAGCTACTGCCATAATTTTGGTTAAAGTACAAATAAAGCAAATATTTAAGGAAAGTTAGAGAAAGCTCGCTAATTGCAATATCGAAACCTGAGAATTTTGAAAACAACAACAAAAACCATGGACGCTGGCCTGTGGTATTACCCGCCTTGTTAAAACAGCGTCAGGCTTTTAACGTGAGAGTGTGAGACACGCCGTTCCCCCCTACGCCCTCGTCAAAACCATGTCAATGAGCTCTTTTGGATTGGATTTCCGTTCCATTTACTTTTGTGTACACGAAATGTTTAGTAATTATCCAACTATTCAGGCGTAGGTCGAGACCATATGGGGGCCCGATTGAGTTCGAGTTCGGAGTTTGGAGTTTGTAGTTTGGACAGCTGAAGATGACTCCGAATCTCCAATGTTTATGTCCAACCTGTCGCCCATGGGCCACGCTTCATGCTCTGTTCAAGCATAGAATAGTTTGATCCTCCGGATTGCACGTTGGTATGTTTCCACTTTGGCCACGGTCACTGCCTGTTCTTGTAATAGACTACTTGGTACTTACTTTTACTTTCTCTCTCTCTCTCTCTCTATGTATATATACTACATATAAATAAAAGAAAAAGATACAATGTTCACTCTGGATCCAGATTCCAAAGGAAAGTTCTAGAGAATTGCAGAAACCAAGGCATTTGACGTTTCCTTTTCGTTGACATGAAGTAGTGGCATCACTCCCATCGACAACATTTCTAAAGCATTCAAAGCAGATAGCTCAACTCCCATTGTCATTCATTGAAATTAATCTACAAAAGCCACAATGATTAATGATCATAGGCACTTACGCTGGTGCCCATTGTTACCATTACTTGAGAAACACAAAAATAAAACGTGCCAGAAAGGAGAAGGATTGTTGTTCCCCTGCCACTCTTAAACTCCCCACGAGACATCTACTGCTGTCATGTTTAAAGAATGATGAAACATGGGTCTTGAACATCACGCTGAGATTAAGGAAAGGGGAAAATACCCCAATCCTGCAATTTGGTTTCTTATTCTTTCAATATATGCATCAATTTTAAATGTAACTAAAAATTTGGGGTCAAGAAATCTGATTGACATCTAATTCCAACAATGAATATTCAAATGAAAACTCCATTTAGATCTAACCATCCAGTATCAAAGAGCTCATTAAATAAGTACTGAAATTGCAAAAGTGTTCAAATGAGAACCTCTCATGCGTCCTGGTCATGCCCAAAATACAATTTAGCTTGTAAACACCTTCCATATTCGTCCTGATACTCATATTTAAGTCAAAATACATACTTAAGAGGCCTCGGCAGCAGGTTGGGTCACTCCAAACTTCACAAGCAACTTGCTCAGGGAATCTGGTGAACATACTTGGTATTTCACTTTTCCAGAAGGCAAGAGGAAGACCTCAGCCAATTCAAGTTTTTCTGAAGTAAGACTTGTACTATCCATTGTCTTGCTGAGCACCTTCAGTGCGAGCAGGACAGCCTCTTCTCTAGATATATCATCCTTGTAGTCCTGCTTAAGCATAGACTGTGCTGCCTGGTTGTTTGCCCCAATTGCGGCAGCCTTCCAACCAGCATAATTTCCACTTGGGTCACTCATGTACAGCTGGAATCCAAAATTTTTATCCCAACCTGCAAAAAGAAAAGAAACACCAAACGGACGAAGTCCACCAAACTGTGTGTAGCCTTGTTTGGTATCACAGAGAGATTGGACGAGCTGTTCGACCGGCATTGGCTCTTGGTACGCATAAGTATAGCGTTGGGCTTGAACCCTAGCTGTATTGATGAGTATATTAGCATCAGACATTATTCCAGCCACAGCACATGCTACATGATCATCAACCTTGTACATCTTCTCAGTTGATGTCGATGTTTGCAGAAGCTTGGAGGTGACTTTCTTCTCACCAACTAGAACTACACCATCTTTTGACAGTATCCCAATTGCGGTTCCTGCATTGCCAATAGCCTCCATTGCATATTCAACTTGGTAAAGACGACCTTCAGGGGAGAAGATCGTTGTGCGGCTATCATATCTTCGAGACATTGGTTATAAAATAACACTGAAGATAAGAAGAAAATCAGAGACAAAAAGTGGGAATTTTATATTTTAAAAGCAGATTGTAAGGTGTGTAAGAAAAAAAGCACAACATGCACACAAATAAAAGGTTTCAAGCAATCTGATAAAATAACATTACCAGCAATTACCGCAACAATGTTGTTTCATGTAAAAAATTTCAAAATGTTCAAGCACATTTCATTGTTGTTTATAGGATCAAATACAAACCACCATATCCTCTAGCTCCTCTACCCATGAAAAATTCAAGCTGTTTTGTGCATAAATTGTAATGAGTAGCAGCAAGAATAAAACCAGCCCAACAAAAAATATCATTAAATAGTAAGATTCATTCCCAAATAACGCTAACTACTCTATCAATGTAACTGAAATCTACAGTTAACTTTATCTCTATCGAGGGAGTGTGGCTCAATCCTCCCAGCTTGAAACTAGCTAACATTGCACATGGAACAAATCGACGGGGAAAAGAAAGTGAAAAAACACAACTTCACATCATCCCCATTATTATCTTTATCTCCCTAAGAAAAATGAAAAGTAAAATTCTAGGTAAGAAGCTAGGGAGAAGGAAGGATGAGGCTCAACTGTAAAAAAATATTAAAAAAAAAAAGGGAAAAGTGGGGGGAGAGAGGGGAAAAACATGATTTCTCCCAAAGAAGACATCTGGTGCAAAGATGAAATCTTTGGAGTTGGCCTCCTGTGAAACAGACAGGAGTTAGGAAGCACTAATTGCACCCTCTAAAGCAAGAAAAAAAATTCACTACCAACCAAAACCTTCTGAACATAAATTCATAGATCTCAGCATGAAAGCAATCGACCCAACCCGACTAGTGGTAAAATTAGCATTAGCATTAGCAAATAGCTAATGATTAGGGTTTTGCGGCGGCGATGGCGATAACGAAATCTACAGATTTGAAAGGGCGACTCGCAAAGCACAATGAGCATTCAGTTGAGAGAAAGAAAGAAGGAGAAATTTGACCTGAAAAAGCCGATCTCCAGCCTCGTGCAGCAGGAGCAAGGACTAACCACCACCAAATCTCACACTGCCTTCGCTTTATTAATAGGTGATGGGGACCACCCGCTTGTTAATTTTAAATACATTTTTTGACAAATTTACACAAATTTAAAATTTGAGTCGATTAAAAAATGATAATTAAAACAGCTCCAGCAAGATGAAGTGCAATCGCCGTTGTAAGCATGTGAAAAATGATAAAGTGGTGCAGTTTCAAAAGAGACTGTCAGGATTATGCTTCAATTTTACACAAATGATGCATTAAGATTAAGATCTCTTCATATATTGTGCTTGTTATGAGCATTGATTTCATTGTTTTTGTTGCCATTCTCCGTATCATGTTTTGTACATTACTAAAATTAAATTCCAATAGGTTGATTTTTAATTTTGTTTTGATGTATTTGATTTTTCACTCTTTTGTTTATAACTTAAATTGGATAAAAACAGATAAATTTATATTTCTTCCCATTTTCTCTTTTTATTATTAATATTGTCTTTTATTTGATTTTTTTTGTTATTTGGATAATTCTTTTTTACTTTTTCTTTTTTCACTAATTTATTTGCCTATAATTTTTCCAATCTATCAATACTGTCTTTTCATCAAAATAATTTTTTATGTGCAATTTTGCATCTAAACTAAATTGTATGTCAATTATAAATAAATAAATAAAATAATAATGAAAAAGAACCTGAAATGTGGACTTGTTATTGTGAGAATAATCTGTATATCAGCATATGTACCCAGGTGAATAGTCTAGTTGCTTGGGGATCGAATTCTTACCTCCCAGATTTCTTCATCAGTATGCTGTTGTAGAGGATCCAAATTATGCCTCATTGTTCCTTGAAATAGTGTTGGATCTGGGGGTATTATGCTTAACCTTGATCTCAAGTCCTGGAGTCCCAACATGCTAATATCCATTCCATCAATAATGACTTGTCCTTGTGATGGCTCCACCAGACGGAAGACAACTTGGATAAGCGTTGATTTTCTACTTCCCGTTCTTCCCACAATTCCAATTTTCTTCTCTCCAGGAAAGGTGCAAGTTTTTCCATGGAGAACAATCGGGAGAGCAGGTCCGTACCGAACCTGGAGGTTTCTGAATTCTATGCATCCGTGTTCTGGCCATTCTGGTCTAGTCTTATTATCTTCAATGACTAATGGTACCTCGCTTTGTACGTTAGTGAACTGAAGTATTCTTTCCACAGATATCATCTTATTCTCAACATTGCACAGGTTACATATAACCGAAGATTGTAAGACCTTTAGACTAAGACCGTATGCAACTGCTAATCCTGCCAAGCCTGTAATAAAATCAACCAATTCATAAATGATTCTCAGATGTATTATGGCAGCACATAAAAGTACTTCTCTGGCAACTTAAAACGAGAAAAGGGATATAATTGGTGCTTTCTGGGGTTCACAGCTAAGGTCGGCAGGCTCACCAAGAATACAAGAACGAGGAAGAAACCTATGTTAAAAAGAAAGTTAACCCGAACACAGAGCCATTCAACTGTGGCGGAGTTATGGAAAGCGATGCATGATAAATCATCAATTAGGTTGAGAATTCTTGTAAAGAATTGCTCTTCTTGATCAAAGCAACGAATCGTTGCTGCTCCAGCAATTGTTTCAGAGAAGTGGTGAAGTACTGGAGCCTTCTGAACTCCAACCATCCTAGCTAATTCTCGAGCAGTTGTGATGTAGTAAGCCTACAAAGAAGCATGATTACTTTGAGGGTGAATTTGGATTTCGTAGAATATCAGATTCTAAGGATAAATGTAGACATTATGTAAAACTGAGTAAATGTTATTCTATCTTGCCGAGTCTCTCTTCTCTTGGCCATTGAAACTGATGGAAAACCATTTGACAAAACAAGTGAGGAAAGGACAAAAGTAGATACCTGATACCGCACGGAGATGTAAAGATGACCAAAAAGAGGAGGACGAACTTCCAGTCCACCAGGGATAAAAGGAAAACAACACTAATCAACTGAATAATTGCAAATACTAGCCCAGCTAATCTGTATGATATGTCCGTATCCACAACACTCTGATCTGTTGAAAACTGAAATACAGACATATAAACAAGAAAGTGAGATGTCAGCTTTTTCACCAGTGCAAAATACAGAAAGTACAAAAAGCAAGATGATGAAAAAGATGACCCTATCCATCATTCGACTTGAAGGAGTGATGTCAAAGAAGGACATGGAAGCGCGGAAAATTGATGTTATCATGCCGACCAAAAGGTGCTGGGCGGTCTTGAGGGCCATAGCTGATAGCAGGACTGCCCTTGCTGATATAAAAACTGAGCTCCCAAAAGAGGTCAAGGCAAACATTCCCATCATTCTACCTTTGCTGACCCTGCTCTCTTCTTCAGTTGCCCACGCCATCCAATAATTACTTTCTATCTGTGGCAATTGAAAGAGGACATGGGAAAGAAGAATAATTGGTACAAATGCCCCTTTATAGGCTGCAGTGATGAAACTTAAGTAAACGTTCCAACTTACTCTTCCTGTTTCCATCTTCTCTTCTATAGACCTTTCTTCAAGCTGGAAGTTATTAACAGGATTCTTGTCGGGAATACTTGTGTCTTCTGTTTAATTTCCTAATTCTAGTTCGCTGGCATGATCCTGCTGCGGAGATGGGTTCACTTGGTCTAGGACTCTTTGTGAGCAGCCGTTAACGAGGTAAGTTCACCACTGGGATCTGCTATCAACTCTCTGCATGTTCCTATTTGAACAGTCCTACCCTCCCTAAGTACCTGCGTATTGCATGTTTAAGATGAAAATTAGTTTCTCGCTCCATATAGACACAGGCTTAGATTTAAAAAAAAAAAAAAACAGATACAAGCTTACTATAACAATGTCTGCTGCAGCCAAAAGTTCCAACTGATGGGTGACATAAACTACTGTCTTAAGAGACCGAAGCCCTCTTAAGCAGCGCTGCAAAAACATTGCAAACACATGAAAATATATCCATCTTGTGTTGCTGGAATAAGAAAATGCAAAGGTCGTGCCCATGGTACGAGGAGTATATTTTCTATGCTACTCTGATTGTATATTTCTATGTACTGTTACATAAATGATTATTCTAGAATGGCACACCAACCTCTGTGTGCTGGAGCCTAGAAATCAAGGAAACTACTTCCATGATTATTGTGGATATGGCAAAGTAAAACCAACAACTAACAATAACAGTAGCAATAAAGCTATGATCCTTGACAGGAACAAAAGCATTAAACGGTTGAAAGTTGGTTGCCTTGAACAAATGTGCTCCGGTACTTGTATCAACGGCGCTAAATGGATCATCAAGGAGGTATACATCAGAATCACTGTAAATTGCCCTGGCAAATTGTAGCCTTTGTTTTTGACCTCCACTTAAGTTTATGCCTCTTTCTCCCACCCAAGTTGAATCCTTATTAATCAAACTTTCAATGTCTTCTATCAATGCACACCCTTCTAAAACATCATGATAAAATGATTCATTCAATTCTATCCCAAATAATATATTGTCCTTAACTGTAGCAGACTGAATCCATGGTGTCTGCTGTACGTAAGCTTTAGAACCAAAAACCTCAGTTCCTGTGCCTGATACCCTGGGGATCTCACCAAGAATGCTACAGAGCAGACTGGATTTTCCTGATCCTACTAATCCGCATTGCAACCTTTCTTAATTTGAATATCTTTATCAATTATAATTGCGGGTTGCTGCAAATTTAAATTGCTTGTTTCCCAAGCATATTCCGCTTTTCTTATATGAATCAAAACATCAGAAGCTTTTGCATTATGGTTGGATTTTGACTTGTCTTGATTTTCTGCTCTTAGAAAGTCCTGCAGCCGATCAATTGAAATTTTTGCCTGAGCAATAAGAGAAGCAAGCTCTGGCATGTTTTATATTGGCTCTTGCAAGATTCTTAGTGTTGCCAACGTTGAGAGAACTGATCCTGAAGTTAGTGGTCTATGTAACAACGTACATATACCAAAGGTCGTCAACAATATGACTGATGATGAACTCCAATAGAGACATACCACCAGTGCTTGGGTATATAAGTAGCTCTTGAGCCAACCTCTTTCTTTATCCCTAAGTTGAAAGAGCTTCTGTAGAAATGTGGACTCCCAACCATGGAACTTCAAGACTTTCATGCTCTTTATAGCTTCCATAATCCCAGAGTGCCACCTTCTTTGCAACTTTGACACGGGTATTCATCACCATGACTAAAATAGTAGCTGCAATAGCAGCAATTGAAGGCAGCCAACCAACATGCTTCTTCATAATAATCAATGCAAGGACAAATTGAAGAGGAAGCAACCAAAATTCATGACAGTGTAAAACTAATTCTCCAACTTTTTCAATATCTGCGTTGATGTAATTAATGATCTGTCCATTTTTGGCTCCAGCATTTCTGACTGAAAGCGATTTTTTGTATATTGTAGCCATCAGAGCTGCCCAGACTCGAATACCAATTCTATTAGCTCCGAAACGCCATTGTTTCTCACAAAAGGACTCGAGTGTCTTGGCAATAAAGAAGAGGAAGACCAGAAGCAGGCCGTAGTACCTTGATTCATCATGCGTCCCAGTCCAGATATATAAGTAATGAAGTTTGGGACCAGATAAGGCCCAACATAGGACGCAACGGTGAAAACTCCTGGAAAATATGAATGACGCATGATAGTATTTGAAAAAGAAGGAATTGAGTTGCATGGAGTGATGATAAAATATTTTTAAGTGGTGACAATATTTACCTGCGAAAATGGCATTTAGGAGCAGGGATGCAGGAACAGCAGAAAATACAGCCTTTGCCACTGAAGGGGTTTTACTTGATCCTTTTCAAGTGAGCGTTGCAACAATGTGTAAGCATGGTCTGCCGTTCCCGATTTAGGAAGCGGAGGAACGTCAGAGTTTTTGAGCTTCTGCTTGTTGGTTCAGCCACCCAAAGCTAAGCTTGTCCCAGATTGCAGCACTGGTGAAAGCATCACCAACTCTAAGTCCACCTACGTCTTCCTTCAGAAGAGGCTGTTGCGCTTCATTGTCCAATTAACTAAACTGGTGCTGGTATAGACGGATGGCTGCAGCAATTCATATATATGATACCCTACGAATTTCAGTAATTATTATGAGTGTTATTATTATTAACAACAATCGGCCAAGAGAAAGAAGACACGCAGCACGTAAACAAGTTCATGAATAACATATAATAATAAAAGTAATAACAATAATAATAATACTAGCAGAAACATACCATAAGCATGCTGCTTTAACAAGTTGATGCAGGATAATAAACTACAACTCTAACATTATGAACTGATAATATATATATATAAGTATAATATATTTGTTTGTAGGGAATAATGTTTTTCTTGGTACGTACTAATTTGGGACAAAAAGGGAGTTAAAACATGTTTCACCATGTGACCCGTTACAGTGATGTAGCTAAGTATCCAAGAAAAAGTAGGGATTGCAAGCTACTATTTTGCGGACACGAGAAAAATATGTGCACAAAAGTACGTTGTTAGCACCAACAACATTTTCCTTGTCAAATGCCAAATCAAGTGGGAGTGTTGTCACAAGCAAAGCCAAATAAAGCGTATTTGGAACTCAAAGGACTTCAATGCAAATGTGCGGACGCTTGAAAGCCAACGAAAGAGGCTTCAGCCTTCAGCCGCCGGGTTCACACCCACCCGGCCATTTGGCTACGTGAGTCGCCAATCCTCATCCTTCTGCGACCACCTGCAACTGGGCGTAGCACCCTTGCCCATCCTTGGCGGCATGACTGGTTGAACTTTCTCTTTCCGTTGCACTTCACTAGTTTCCATAACATCACTTTGGTACAAAGGATTTCCCACTCATTGCATAATTTAACTTGGAATTCAATTTACCAGATGGCCTTGCTCCTTGGATTAGAAAGAAAGCAAAGTGAGAGGACCCAGCTAGGTGACGACGAACGTATCAACAGTTGAAATACATCTCTTCTCAACACTCTTCCCCTGTGCATGTATGCCTTCATTTTGAGCTTCTTAAGGCACATGCAGCTTCAGGGTTAGAGTTCGTTTCAGGGAAAGATTAACTGCGAGTAGACATGCCTTCATTTGCAGTCAAGAGTCAGCAGGCATCCACAAGAACATAAAAAAACAATTTGTCATTTATTAACTACGGTCAGCATGCATGTGACGAAGCAGTCTCTCTCCAATCTCTAGGATTTTTCCATATATATAATTAGCACTTTGCAGTTGACCTACACCATGTACCATAAACATGGCAACCTGCAAACACACCACCTTAAATACTACTAACTTTTGGTCTGTCTGAGACTCTCCAGGCACAAGCTATTAGGTTGGAGAAAACGACGCCTGCTCAGACTTTCGAATGCACAAGACACAAAGTGGCTTTCTACCTTGGCCGGATCGAAACTATCAACAAGCTTTAGGTCCTCTAAGATAGGATTAAAATTTTTGGATGAAGAAAAATGCTAGATATGAGAGATATGGTCTGGCCTATTGTTAAACATATACTTGGCAGAATATATGATCCCTCCTATATTTGTATGATCAGATGAAAGATTTCTCTTTTGGTGAGAACTGACCGTATTATCAATCATGGTTTATACCTATAAAAGAAAAAATAACATTACTACAGGCAGATGCTAAATATCCTGGTTTTCTTATGACTTTTTGGTAGGAGAAAAATAATGAGAGATTGTAGAACCTCGCTGAACTATATTATTAGGCCGCTTTCGAGGCCGTAGCCAGGCTTGAATTTCATCTTGGATCTCCATTGGCAATTCATCAATCACAGATGGGTCAATTTCATTGATGTTGTAACTCCATGCTTCCCTTCTCCATTCATCCTGATCTCTAATGTAACTGTGACTGCTCGTCCCATTCTCCTTTGCTACTTCAACTTCATTAAGTTCTGCAAGGTTATGACAGCTGGACTGAAAACCTGCACCTAGATATTAAATATTCAGAGAAACAAAATTTTGTAATAATATTGGCCCTAAAAGTGGAGTTAAGAATTACCGTTGGTTAATTGAGCATCGGTGCCTTGGACAGTTCTATCGTGCTCTTGAGACAAAGAAGTGCCAGAGGGATTGCAGCTCTTAAAAAATTTCAAAATTGAAGATGTTCCCTGTCACAACATATCGAAGGAAGCTAAGACATTCCCCCAAACCCCAGAAAGCACAAACATTTAGCAAATCAATGGCAAATTCTGAAACTATAACTAATTGTGAAATGCATGGTTATAATTACAATAGCCTCTTGACATTACTTCTTAAATTCATCCCTACCATATATTACATATGAGCAACCCCAACTAGTAACTTATAATCAACTGCATCGTGATAATCAAGCCACCAAAGACCCTGTACTTGCAGTGCAGCCATTTCCTAAGGCTTAAGTAAAATATATTTGTAGGAGGCTGGGCTATACCCTGACCAGACCACATTTTCTATCACCAAATTTTTTGTTTATTGTGTATAGATATTGACTCTATTTCTTTCAAAGAAGAACAGATCAAGATATTTAAACTTGGGAGGAACTTCTTCTCCACATAATAATCAAGATAAGCAAGTATTCTCAAGATAGCATTATAACACATTAAACAGAGATAACACAAGAAGAGAGAAATGACATTCATGATTGAACCTTGTTTTTCAATCTTGTTCCTTTTTGCTCCCGGTATTCTGACTTAAACCGGCTCTCATCCTTAGAGAACTCTCTTTGCTGTTTATTCTGATTCTGTTCCAAGCACCCCTGAGTTCCTAAATAAACACAATTACATGATCAGAACTTGAAAGGGCATATAGGGACCCAAGGAAACAGCAAGTACTGGAAGATATTACCTGAGAGCAACAATGGTGAAGTATCCTCGGTGAAGCCATCTACTTTCTTCTTTGATGGAGAGCAAGATAGATCCTGCAGACAGAACAGACTAGTAACATGAAATGTTCACAACCAGAAGCATTTAAAAATAAAAAAATAAGATCACGTGTCAAACACAGGTAGTAGTTCTAACACAATATAAATTATACATATATCAAAAGGCCTACACGTTATACATGTTGAAAACTTTACATATCATGCTCTCTAAAATCAAGGAAAAATTACAATAGTATAGAAATCTATGTTGCTTGCTCGCATCACATAATCATATTCCACATTGCAAAAATAAAACACTGATCAGTTGCCAATTTCTTATATAAAAGTCAATATTAGCTGGAAACTTTCATTGAAAACTCTTAAATATTTGACATAAGCTCTATAGACTTTTTGGATTGCATTCTTTTAATAACCAATTATCATCTTAAAAATGTTATGCTGTATTTAGAAAAGAATCTGCTTAATAAATACCTCATCTTTCCAGACATTTATTTTCTGTTCTTGTAGACCCAAACCAGGGGTAGTATCCTCAATCCAGCTATCTTCCCCTGGAAAATGAATTTTTGGTTCAGGTAAACCCACCTCTGAGTAGCTTTCATTACCTGAATGAACACCTAGCCCACTTAGACAATGAATATGTATTATTATCATAAGCACGATCACAAATTATCAGCAAAGAAAGAAGACCTGGGGGAGACAAATGCGTTGCATCCATTCTGAGGTTCTCTGCTGATTGTATTGAAGAAAAGTGGGATGAAGATTGCCAATGAAAATATTTCACAATTGAACATGTTCCCTGCCAAAAGCAGTTATAAAGCAACACATTATGCATAACTTTTGGTGGTCCAAAAAAACATGTCAAGGTCATGATTTACTACAAACAATGTAAATTTTGAACTTACAGATGGTATGGGGACAATTTTACTGGCTGAAACAGAAAGAGATGTTATCCCCCATCTACTGTAGTGACTTCCTTGAGACTTAACACCATACAATCCTATGTATTCACGCAATCCGGCTTGAAATAGGTTGAAGGCATCTTCCTGGATCTTGGCAGTCCCATACCTTAGTGGACAAGATTTTGAGGGGAACTTTTTCTCTGAATCTGAGTCACTGGACTGCAGAAATACTCATAATTAGCAAAACAGGATGCTGGAGTTAGCACATCACATATAAGAATCTGGGTTGGATAAGAGAAAGAAGCTGCCACAGGCACATAAAAGTGCAAACCTACAAGATAAAAGATGGGTACCTTGTATGCTCTAGCATGCAGAGTTAAAGTGTGTGCTATCCTCTTGTTTTGTTCTAGGTCAGAGCAAAGCCGTTCACTGAGTTCTTCGCAAAGTTGATTAAGCCAGTGTTGCACCTGGTAATAAAGATATAAAAAGGCAAGTTTCAACAAATTGAACTACATTCTAAGATAATCACACTTGGGAATTAAGCTCACAAAATTTGCCCTTTATTTCGTGCAAAATCTACATTCTAAGATAACCACACTGAATATTGACACATTGACTTCATAACATAAAAAAATCATAGTGCATCATGAGCAGAAAGCATCATTTAATTAAAGACAAAATCCTTACTGCAGAAACTGTCTTTAATGCACGAGGGCCAGGAAATGTCTTTCCAGAACCATGGCTCTTGGGGAGAAGGCGTCCCTCAACTGCTTCTCCATTGATTCCTCTTGCAATATTCCATAGCCAAGTACTGGAGTCCATGCAAAATATAGGTATTTAGGAACCATATCCAGAATTCCAGATAACTTATAAATGAATCACCAAATGGTGAAGCACATGATTCGGAATGGTCACCTCTTCTGGTGGATTTTTATTGTATAAAACTTAAAACAAGAAGTCAACATTATGGAAAGAATTTAAGAAAGTGCTAGAAAAGAGCTCTTGATGTTATACGTAAAATGTAGTAATTTAAGTTTTGATTTTTAAGTGGAGAAGCTGTAATGATTGAGAAATATAAGACATTTCCAAAAGCTCTGTTAATGGCTAATGACCCAGTATTTAAGCCATAACGTTCTTGAAGCTTCTCCTCTGAAAATTGCAATAGATCTCCAACAGTGTTCACACCCATGTCAATTTGTAAGGACATCCCCAGCTTGCCTCCAAGCTGTTTCCTGTAAATAAAGTTTTTAGTCAAAATAACGTGTCACATCTTAGGAGAGAAGGTGAGCATGTAACTGCTCTTCCCTCATACATTAGTGATGACGTTGAAATATCATTTATCCTCAAGGAATGTAACTAATTAGCATTTCAACTCAATCCAGAAATCTATTGAAACTTACATTTTCCTTATTGGCAAGGAATTGAGCAATCCTTGTACAGATGAGAAAGGCACGACAGTTTGTTGTGCAGGTTTATTCATACCACTTGCAAGTTTGGCCAGCATCTGGTAACAAAGTCAGTTGTAAGATGATAGCAAAAGGTTAGTAAAAATGCGGTACCTTATGGTACTTGCTGAAAGAGTACAAGGGAAAGAAAAAACTTTCTAGCAACCTTATTATGAGCAATGCCTGCAGAACAAGTGAATTCTGTCTCCTTTAAAACCTGCATCCTAAGTTCTGCAACAATGAGGATGCCACAGGCTAGTAACTTATCACGGTGATCAGCATGGCACCTATGTATCCAATTCCTAACAATTTCTTTCACATCACTCCCATCCTGCACAGTTGCACGTACAGTAACATCTTAAGTGATGCAAAATTCTACACTCTCCAAACATGCAAAACAGTATGCAGTAGACCCCAAGTAGGGAGAAAAATTTATGACAGGATACATATACAATTCTACTAAACTTATTGTTTAAGTAGCAATGGAGGCTTCCCAGAACATTCTACTTAAGCTAAAATCATATAAAATGGCATCTGTCCATCAACAAAGGTGCTATTCACCATCATCAACTCCAGTGCCAAGCATTATTAAATCTTATGCTGAAAGATCCCAAAGCATGGGTGCAAACCTCATTATTGAGCCCTAGAATATGTGACTTAAGAGCTTCCTCATCTATTGCCTCCAAGTGCTGCGGAGGAGCTTCTGCTAGCATTGTTTCTGCTGCATCAGTAAGATCAAGATAAACTTCATCAATGGAAGCCCTTTCACATCTACCTCTCCTTGCAAGGATGGACATCACCTGCAAATTTTTTTAAAATCCAGCATAAGATGGGTTCTAAATGAACTACTGACAAGATGCTTGAATTCAGTGCAAATGTTCTTCAAATCCATACACCTCGGAGCCTGCATTCCGATAACCATTAAGATCAGCTTTACCACGGGCTACAGGAACTTGGACCAGATGAATTTGTGGGCAAACCTCCTTGGCTTCCTCACCACGCATTGAGCTGAAAACCAAACATAAGATAGAAAAAAGAAAATAAGAAAATATTAATCATCAATTAAGAATCCAGATAAGGATTACTTAACATCGAAATTACCGCTTCACCCCAAATTTACGTGCCTCATAGCTGACTGCAATCAAAGCCCCTCCTTTCCATTCATTGTACTGTACAACTGCGGTAGGCAAACCCCGTAATTGCGGTTGCTTTCTTTGCTCCACTACAAAAGGAAATGTATAAAACAATGTTACGCTAGAACTTAAGACACTCGGCCACAATTGACAGGAAAATTCTAAAGAGAAAGCGCATGACAATTTCAAGGAGGGAGTAAAAATGCGATGAACATGAACGGATGACTTCACTTATTTTCTGAATATAACTACAAATAAAAAATTTATTCATTTTCATTTTTCTAAATGGAGAAAAAATGACACTTTGGGTCTCTGGGTCCTAATCATAAAACGAAAGTAACAATTTTGAAGAACAACAGGGCATAATTGCTACTAGTCTAGAACCGGATGACGCGGAACAAAAAGAAAGAAAGTGAATTGGCTTCGGTTTCTCCACTTGTGCGACAAAATTCAGCAACTTTTTGGGAAATTGGAACAGAATAAAACGAAACAGACAAGGCAGAATTGGTCGGAAACCTAAGTAGCAGGAAAAAGGAGTTAAAACCTTGAACATAGAAGCAGTCCATGTCGATATGAGCAATCACCCTGGAATCACACGATTCTGGTTTTGCCACTGGCATTGCTCTTACTCTCTCCTTGGCTCGCTCTCTTCTTTTCCCTCCAATTCTTGTCTACTTCTTTCCTAGGTTTTTCTGTTTTACCAACCATACCGAGGAAAGGCAGTGAGAGGAGGCGAGCGGGCACTTATTAATGGTTTTTCCTTGGAACGCCGTTTCGGTCATTGTTTCTAAACGTACCCTTTTTCACTTTGGCCTAGTTTGCCCCAATAGCTCTAACGGACTTGTTCTCAATTCGAGCTTCAAAAGATAAAAACCAGGACACCTTGACCTCTGAATTTGACACTATGTCTACTCTCAAAGACTTACTCGGTCAAATGAAATTTGTATCAAAGTCACTAAAATTTCAGTGTAAATATCAACTCATGTGTGGAGATCAAAGTCGGGATATACAGTCAAGGTGTAAATCTAGTGCTACTCATACCATTGAACAAAAATTTTGTCTATTGATATTTAGTATTGAGCGAATCAAAATATTAACATGAAACAAAAGAAAACAGCTCAACTCACTATCCAAACTTATCACCATACTGAGATCATCATATTTCTGTCAACTCCAAAAGATCATTATTATAGAAAAGATTTCGGAAATAATTAAAAGTGACCTTACGTACACCTCACCTGTCTCGGAGCAGAAATCCAAGACCCATTAACTACGATTCCAGCCATATAGTTTCTACGAGACGAGATGTAGTGTAGCTTTGGTTTTGCATTGGAAAAAACTAGTGTTCTAAGACTAAATGTTTTGTGGGTTCTTTTCCTTGATGCTGCAAATTAAGAATCGCATCATTTTCTTGGAGGTTGATCATTTTTCATTGTCAACGAAGAACACACGGAAAAGAGCATCCATTCCTTATCACATAATTTGCTTTAACTGGAAAGGAACAGCGTCTACTCCTACTCCACGACTGCTGAGCTACTTTAGAATCGTACTTTTTCAATTTTGACTGAAACATACATAAAGCGAATGTGTCCCTCCAATACCAAAGGACGATACTTTTATTTAGTATTTACTGGTGAGTCATCTATGATCGCCTCATGACAAGAGCAACGGACCGATCCACCGTTTCAGCGCTGCTTGTTACTCAAGTATTTTCACTTATTTAATCGCTATCTCTGCCGTTAACTCCTCAATCAGAGAAGCCAGCGATTTGTAGGATGAACCATTTGGCATGAGAGCCGCCCTACTCTTTTGTTTCATTTCCCTCATCTTTCTCCTAGCCTCATCATTGCCCTTCATCAGACGCAGCGCTCTCTCCAGCTCCTCGGGGGACACCAAGTCGCTGCCCTTCCTGTAATCTAGCGGATCTCCACAGCCAGTTCCAGCTCCGACACCAATTGGAAGGCATTCATTTGCTGCTCCGCATAGAGCGGCCACGTGGCTATGGGAACACCATACCATATACTCTCCAAGATAGAATTCCATCCACAGTGTGAGACGAACCCTCCGATTGCTTGGTGGCTCAATATCAAAGCTTGCGGGACCCATCCGCAAACCAACCCAGTTCCAGCCCTTCGGCTTCGATCAACGAACCCTTGAGGCAACATCTCGATTTCCTCCACATTCGTGTATTCGCCCGGAAGCTCCAATTTCATTTTCGGCGGTTCGCGGATAGACCACAAGAACCGGAATCCGCTCCGTTCTAGTCCCACCGCTATTTCCCTCAACTGCGCCCCATAAGGCTTCCCATGCTGCCGAAACACAAGAACACCACGGATGAAGGAGGTTGGTTATCGAGCCATTGCATGACGCTACCATGCTGACCCCGTTCGGGATGCCACTGTGCCGGTCCAACAAGGTCAAGAACTGGACCAATGGGATAGATGGGGGGCCAATCATCATTCCCATTAGAGACAGAGTCGATGGCATACGATTCCAGTTCTCTAAACGTGTTCACAACGATCCCTTTGGTTTCTTTGTACCTGCGTGCATGGTGTAGATACCAGAAATAACCGTCCTGTTTTCTGTACAACACCGCATTGGGCAACACCCGGTGAGGTACGGGGTTGGCAAACCCGGATGGTTAACCCACTGGCACTGGCTGCTGCTGGGTCTTTAGGGACCATCAACCCACTGTCCAAGGCTACAAACTCAGTGGCGAATTTGCATCTAGAGTTGGAAGATAAAGCATTAACCCCAAAAAGCTAACTGGAGAAGCAAAGTAAAGATAACAAGGGATGCCTAGCTCGTTTGCCACATCGATCATAGACGTACAAAACATGTCAACGAACAAGCCAGCAACTCGGACAGTACTACTGTCGGAGTCGGACTTGGACTCAGTTGAAATGAGGTGAGCGATTGCATTTTTGACGTGGGGTTTGTGCTTTGCTATGAGCAGACATATGTAACCCAAGTAAGTTCGGTACTCATCCGTTGACGGGGGATCCACGGGAGGGAGGTTGATGAAATTAAAGTTGGTGGCCGTGGCAACACACGATCGGATGTAGGCGTTTACGATGGGTCTTTCTGCTATGTCGATCATGAGAATGGTGGCAAAGAATTGGGGGTCGTGATTGGTGAGGCGGCGGGCAAATTCAACAGTTGGAACAAGGTTCCCAAAGTTACCTGGGGTAGAGATGAACACTACATGGAACTTGTTCATTGCGCTTGTCAAGGCTCAGACTCAAGGCGTTTTAGTTTCTCTGTCTCTCTCTTGCTCTCTCTTATAGCTCTAAAGTAGCGTAAAGATCTTTATACTTACCACGCTGTCTCAGTCTCAAATAATATGCCTTTTATTTATTGATTTGTTTATCTTTAACTACTCAACATTCCTCTTATTGCAGTATATTTCAAATAAAATGGTATCACTGATTCGGAATTCTTTCCACCTTAACCATGGTAAAATATCTGGACGGTCATTGAATCAACAAACGACAGAACCCTTCAGCATTAAGTATCAAACCAATAACCTCTGGCATGGTTCGCTAGCAGAGCTTTATCTTTGAGCTTGCCTCTCTGTATTCGGAAGTTTGTCCCTGAGAACTGGCTGATCTATATAGTGTGTTCTGATTTATTGCAATGAAAATATCAAAGCAACCGAGGTAAATCACTTAAAGATTGTCATAATTGGCATTAAAACTGTATTTTTGCATAAAAGTTTCTGCGTTACATCTTTGCTTCCGATAACATGTAAAGCTGTGGTAGTCATAACCAAAATAAACTGTTTCTAGTAAAAGCAGCTTGTGCCATTTTTGTGATCTCTCGTTGTCTACATTGTGATGTGCAAATTGCTCTCTTTGCCCAAAGGTGATCGATGTCTTCTTGGTTTTGTTTTCTTTTTCTGTCTTTTGTTTGATTTGCAAAATCACTTTGGATCTTGGCTTTGTTGTGATCCGAATGACTTTTGAACATTGGGAGATTATGTTGCATAACAGATAGAATTTACAACACTAACATTACGTTCACTGTATCTTTCAACTAATACCTGAAATAAGTAATTCAAATATTTAACTTGTTCAAATAAAGCAAAGTCTCTAAAATGGGTTTTGTTTAAACCGGATGTTATCATTTATATTTTAAATCAAGCACAGAGAAGAGTCAAAATTAGCATGAAGGACGAAGTAAACAAGTAACATCATGGTTGATTTTTCTTCTTTCTTCCTTTTCTTCTTCTTTTCTTCTCCCAGGAATGGACCCCGTAAATGAAAGAAAGATGTTTCAGCAATGAGCAAGAGCAGTTAGCCAACCTATCACCACAGTAAGAACTAAGATTAGAAGGAAATGTTATTTCCTATTCTGTTTTATAAGTAACTTGCGTAGTTTTCAGACCTTGATTTGGCTGAGGGTTTGTAAAGCTTATGTTACGAATGCAATTGTCATAGAAAAGCTTTTACAGCTATCCACGCACTCATTGGTGTGTGCTGAGTTCATACAGTGAGGTTTTATCAGTATAGGTAACAAAATGAAGAGAAACAGATTAGGCTGGGTACCAGATGTTCGAAACAGATGATATTGCAAGAATTGATGCTCCTGTTTAAAAATGTTTAGGAGAGTTGGCCATAAACTCAGCTGAAAAGAGAAGGATTGATGTAGTGGAACACCTAGTTTGGATTAATGCTTAATTGAGTTGAGTCCGATCAAAAATAGGTTCATATTTGAAAAGTCAAGCTTCTTACTCTTCCTAGTCCAAGAGTTAATTAGTAGACACCGCTGATATACCAATTATCTTACTCTTTTTTAGGGTAGTATGGTAAACTTTTCCAGTGTTAAGAAGATCCCAAAATGTTAGCTGGTTTAAAGGAATAGGTACTAGTTGCTGTTAATTCCAAACATCTGAACTATCTAATGCGTTTACAGTTTGATCGCAGCAAGGCGTGTGTTTAATCTGGGCTACTTCTGAACTATATATAGTGGCTTGAAGTTTTGTTCCTATATTGTGGCGGGTCTTTCCTACTTATATCAAAGTTGCTACCAAATCGAGCATATAGCGAGGCTTGTAGCATTCTGAATAAAATGAATGGCCCTTGGATAGAGACACCCTCTTAAGATAAATCACCAGAAATTGAGTATATGAAATTTTCTGAGAACTCTTATCAGACACTTATGTCTGTATGTGTTGGTTTACTCAGTTTCAGAGCAGTGGAGAATGCTGGGGCACCATTGCCGGGTTAGTGGAAGAAAGTCGACGCTTATAATGTACAATTTAGTTTTGTAGAAATGAAACTAGTTGTATGGCTATTAATATACTTACCAGTAAGAATTGTGAAAACATGCAATATATAATTATATGTAGAGAGCTTGACCAACTTTCTGACCTTTCTTGGAAAGAAAAATTAATGGCTGCTTTGATTGGGAAATTAAACCTCCTCCAACCAAAGCATGGCATCATTTCCATGGAAAACACTGCAGGAGGTTGATCATTTTTCATTTACAACGCAGACCATCGTGATGTGCATGGTGAAACAGCACATACTAGGGGAAGAGAACAGAGGCTACTCAATGGAATCGTACTTCTGGCAATATTGACTGAAACAGACATAAATCAAGGCCCATCCCCTAGTGATAGACGACCCTTTTATTTACTATTACTAGTTTATGTTTTCGCATTCTTACGATTCTGAATTTTTGGAAGAACAAAGGACTGATCGACCATTGGAATGGTGCCTGGTGGTGAAATATTTCACGTATTGAACTGGTATACATGAGAAGTGGGAAGTCGAAAGAAATGAACTGCTCATCAAGTCCCTGCGGTTAACTCCTCGATCAGAGAAGCCAGCGATTTGTGGGATGAACCATTTGGCATGAGAGCCGCCCTACTCTTTTGTTTCATTTCCCTCATCTTTCTCCTAACCTCATCATTGCCCTTCATCAGACGCCGCAGCGCTCTCTCCAGCTCCTCGGGAGACACCAAGTCGCTGCCTTCCCTGTACTCCAGTCTAATCTCCACAGCCAGTTCTAGCTCCTTCACCAATTGGAAGGCATTCATTTGCTGCTCTGCATAGAGCGGCCACGTGGCTATTGGAACACCATACCATATACTCTCCAAGATAGAATTCCATCCACAATGGGAGACGAACCCTCCGGTTGCTTGGTGGCCCAATATCACAGCTTGCGGCACCCATCCGCAAACCAACCCAATTCCAGCCCTTCGGCTTCGATCAACGAACCCTTGAGGCAGCATCTCAATTCCCTCCCCATTCTTGTATTCGCCCGGAAGGTCCAGTTCCCTTTTGGGCGGTTCGCGGATTGACCACAAGAATCGGAATCCGCTCCGTTCCAGTCCCACTGCTATTTCCCTTAACTGCGCCCCACAAAGGCTTCCCATGCTTCCGAAACACAAGAACACCACGGATGAAGGAGGTTGGTTATCGAGCCACTGCATGATGCTATCGTGCTGAGCCCGTTCCGGATGCCACAGTGCCGGTCCAACAAGGTCAAGAACTGGACCAATGGGATAGATGGGAGGCCAATCCCCATTCGCATTAGAAACAGAGTCGATGGCATACGGTTCCAGTTCTCGAAACGTGTTCACAACCATTCCCTTGGTCTCCTTGTACCTGCGTGCATGGTGTAGAAACCAGAAGTAACCTTCCTGTTTTCTGTACAACACTCTATTGGGCAACATCAGATGAGGTAAGGGGTTGGCAAAGCCCGGGATGGTTAACTCACTCGTATTGGCTGCTGCGGAGTCTTTTGGGACCATCAACCCACTATCTGAATCAACAAACTCAGTGGCGAATATGGCGTCTACAGTGGGAAAATAAAGCATAAATCCCAAAAAGCTAACAGGAGAAGCAAAGTAAAGATAGCAAGGGATGCCTAGCTCGTTTGCCACATCAATCATAGATGTACAAAACATGTCAACGAGGAAGCCAGCAACTCGGATATTACCCATCTCTGAGTCGGACGGGGACTCGGTTGACATGAGGTCTTCGATTGCATTTTTGACGTGGAGTTTGTGCTTTGCTATGAGAAGACAGATGTAGCCCAAGGAAGTTTGGTACTCGTCCAGTGACGGGGGATCCACGGGAGGGAGGTTGATGAAATTAATATTGGTGGCTGTGGCGACACAGGACTGGATGTAGGCGTTGACGATAGGTCTTTCTGCCATGTCGATCATGAGCATGGTGGCGATGAATCGAGGGTCGTGATTGGTGAGGTGACGGGCAAACTCAACAGTGGGAACAAGGTTCCCTATTCCTGGGGTAGCGATGAACACCACATGGAACTTGTTCATGGCGCTGTTCCTTTGCTTTGTCGGGACTCAGGTCTCTGGATGTCTTAGTCTCTATCTCTCCCTTATAATTTCAAGGGAAGATCCTTCACGGCTTCACCTTTGGATTTCATACCTACCACGTTGTACCATATCTTAAATCATGCGCAATTTATTTATCTATCGATCTTTGACTATTGAGACAGTCTACTTATTATATCATATCTCAAAGAAAAATTATCATAACGTAAACTTTAGTATTTGCACTCATTCGGAATCGTTTTCGGCTTAACAATTTAAAAATAAATAGAAAAAATTGTGAGGAATAATCTTTATTGATAAAAGTATTTTAAAACTAAAATTAAAATAAATTTAACTGTTTTTAGTTATATTTGGTCATGACTTGACGAAAATACTTTTGAAACTATTTTAAATAAATTAAATCATTCATCACAATTTTTCTTCATTTGTGCTTCCGATTTCTCTCTCTCAACATTCCACCCTCTTTAATTTTATCGATTTCTCCCTTCGGCATTCGTCTTCTATACTTCCGATTTCTTTCTTCCGCTTTCAGATTTCTCTTTTCAGCACTTTGAAGACACCAAATGATAGTTTTGATGTACTTGAGTAGATGAATATTTAGAGAATTTGATTTTTAGGTATATCAGATAAAACTAAACAGTAAAAATGATCACAGATATTTGAAATAGCTTTTAATCGGATCAATTCTAGATCTAAATACCAATAAACTCAAAATTTTAAAATTTATAAACATAGGTTTTCAATGAAATTTTTTTTCGATTTTTACTCAAAATAGGTGTTTTAGATAAGAAAATTTATATTTTGATTTATAAAAATATGTTAGAAACACTTTAATCGGTGTCAAATTGTCAAAAAAAACAAAGAAAAAATAAAGAGAGTTGAGAAGATTTGAAGTTTTGGTTTGTAAATAACAACAACAGTTTAGGCATTAAACTGTAACAAAATGTTTTTGAATATGACGTGTAACAATAATATTTTTCAACATGACGTGTAACAACAGTATTTTTTTTAACATGACGTATAACATATTTGTACATAGCATATAACAACTTAACCATAACGTGTCATACGTTTTTGTACACGGTGTGTAACAACCTAATCATGGAGTGTAACATATTTTTGTACATGACGTGTAATACCCTAATCATAGCGTGTTACACGTTTTTTTACATGGCGTGTAACAACCTAACCGTGTCACAATCTAACCATGACGTGTCACACGTTTTTGTACATGATGTGTAACAACCTAACCATGACGTGTAACATGTTTCTGTACACGGTGTATAATATCCTGACGTGTAATTTCATTAAGAGTAATTTTATCTAACTTGATTAAAAATAGTTAAAATTATAAAATAAATTATTTTTAAAAATATCTTATTTTTAAAGATTATTTTTTAAAATACCTCTTAAAAATATCTGAATGGTCATTGAAACAGCAAACTACAGATTCCCCTGTTGTTACGCGACCTTTCAGTATTAAATTAAATATGTTGGCGGTCATCTGTCTACCCGCCACACCCATTCCTGCCTTCTTTCACAACCTCTGGCATCCCTATCTTGGACAAGAATTAAATACCAAACCAATCTCCTGACCATTGGTTAGCTATCAGAGCTTCAGCTTGGAGCTTGCCACCTCTATACTCTGAAGTTTGTCCCTGGGGAACTTGCTGATCTATTGCAATGAATCTATCAAAGCAAATGAGGTAAAATCCATAGGGATTGCAGTCTAGCTGGGTTCTGTTTAAACAAAACACGATGTATTAGTTTATTAAAGCCTAGGAAGCTGGTCCAAGTCTTACAAGTTATGCCGCAGCATCTTTGGAAATTATTTATCAAAGAAATTAATCGAGTTTGTCAAAAGCTGTCTTCGTCATCGCTAATTTATTTATAACTAGTACTAGTATTCTAGCCAGCTTAGTTAGTTTGAAACTTTGAATATCTTGATGATTGTACTGACTATAAACGTTTTTCTATATATTTGTTGGTCGACCAAAGAACAACAAACCCATTGGACATTGCAGGATTTAATTAAACAATTGATCCCGGGCCGTGGATTGGCGAACCATCCATAGTCAAAAGGAGGAAAAATCACTATTTTCTTGGAGATAAAAAGAATTAAGAGGAAGGGAAGAGAAAAGAGTTGGTTGGTTTGTCTTAAAAGCAAGCATTGTAGTGTTAGTTTAAAGAATGATAAAACATTGGGAATTCTCTTAATAGATTAGTGTAAGAGAGTATTGGTGTGCCCAAACTAACAATGATTATTGAAAGATTATCTCTTTTAGAATAATTGCGAAGTTATGTAAACATATATTTATATATATATATGTATATATATATATACAGATAGGATATTTTCTCTTATTAGATATACAGAGTAAATGAATCTTCTTTTCATTAAAAGAAAGAAAAAAAGTCAAAAGTGTAGAAGCATGCATGGAGGGGGATGGAAATTCATGAAATTCTGAGCAAAGTCAAAGCAAATAAAATGGGAAGAGAGCAACAGGCAAGTGGCCAAAGCAGGCAGCAAGGAAGTCGGAGAGAGAAAGAAAAGAAAAGAAAAAGGGCATAGGAAGGAAGTCCAAGGCAAGAGGATTGACATGGAGCTGAGATGAAGAGGGGTTGCTTGAAATGAGACGCAATTTCCAAATAAGAGGGGGCTATTGTTTTACTAAATAAGGAGATTTCTTGAAGGAAGATAAGGATTTCCAAATCTGATCAGTAGACTTCATCCATTTCTGGAGGCCAAATTCTGAGACAATGATAATACTAGAAGATTGACAAAAGCAAGACAGCCAGCCAGGGGGGAGTGAGTGGTGGGAGTGAGGTTTCTGTTTTGTTCTGACTTAGATTTGCTTCCCATAACAAAACCAAACAAGAGCCAAGTGTGTTACATAAAGAGAATATTATTACTCAGAGAAAAGAGAAAGTGAGAAGCAGCAGTCTTTGTGGTTCACGCCAAACAGTGCAACAACCCATCACTGAGTGAGATGGGATTGGACGTATGATCTGACAAATTGTTTTTGCGTCAACCAGACTGCACTGCCACATCATGTCTCAACCCTCCCTCTCTTCTCTCTCTCCACTTTCACCCCCCGCCAGGCCCCAACCCCCCAACCCATTTTTTGTTACTTAAACACAGTCAAGAATCAAGTTTGCTCAATATCTTTTATGGCTATGTATAGATTAACTCATTCTTTCCCACTATAAGCCGGTAAGGTACCAGGTTCAAGTTCATGTTCATGTTCATGTTCACTAATTGTGTCCAACTCTAATACGACAGCGGTTATAACAGAGACAGCGATTGCTAGGACGAGGACGAGGACGAGGGTGATGCATGCTTGTGGTTGTGAAACACAACTACCACAGTATAAGAATAGGTTAGGACATGACTATTGATACATACAGTATATTTTCCTTAAAGTTTTTTGGGAAAGGACATGCTTAATTAAAACTAAATATTATTCTTGTAACTAGCTCAATGAAATTTTATTCCTGATCAAAATGATCACACTTGCTACCTCTTGTTTCTCATCCCAAAATGACCAAGCGACGTGCAATGGAAACATATAAGTTTGAGATGGTCTGGTCTGTGGAGCTGGAAAAAGGGGTTCGTGTAGTGTGAATAATCAATGCAAAGGACACTCGGTTTGACGCTATATCTCTCTACCTGCAGCAGTGTCCTTCCTTCCTCGGCCTTGACAAGAAAACACTGAATTGATAGATAGAACCATCAGAATCACTGCCATTCTCTCACCAAGGAGAGGAACAAAAGAAACCAGGAGCAAAAGAGAAAAAAGGAACTCTATTCTTCCTATATAAACACCTGTCTCCCATCCAAAACAATGTCATTCCAAGAAAACCCTGCAAAGGAGACTCTTCAAAAGGAGTAACCAACCCTCAATGAGTTTTTGTAGTAGCTTTTCTCTCTCTCTCTCTCTCTCTCTCTCTTTTCCTAGAAATTAAGCATGTCGTTTCTTTTTATTAGTTGGTTGTCTTTTTAGCACCTTCTCCTTGAAGCCCTACTCTCCATTTTTCCACTGAAAATGAGAAGCCCGGAAGATTGTTAGCACTAGCAGCGGCCTCTTACTGTTACCATACCCTAAACAATACTTTTTCCATTCCCAAAGAGGACGGTCCCTTAAAACCAACCGCAGATTTTCCTTTCCTTATTGCGGTTCACAAACCTGTTGTGGAAATCAACAAAGCCTTTCGTTTAACTCGAAAGTGGAAAGATCGGTTTCAGCACGCCACTAATGCAAACCCTTTCATCGTGAAAGCATGTAAATCCTAGTCTTTGTGATTCTGCAGGCAAAAAGAAAAAAGAAACAAGAAAAGAAAAAGAGAGAAGACTAGAATCAGTTTCAGCCATGTCCAACCTAAAAACAAAGAATAGCTAGTTCTTCTCATGGATGCTTTCAACACATCTATGTCGCTACCTTTTTCCTACACTTTCACTATCACAGGCAGTAGCTGTACTACTAGCACCAACAGTACCAGCAATCCTTGGATGGACAGTAGGATATGGAGCAAACTACCACAAAGGCTGCTTGATCGGGTGATCGCATTTCTTCCACCACCAGCCTTTTTTCGAGCTCGTTCTGTATGCAAGAGATGGTATGGGCTCTTGTTTTCCAGCAGTTTCCTGGAATTGTATATGCAAATATCACCACGCCACCATTGGTTTCTGTTCTTCAAGCACAAGACACTGAAGAGCTACATCTATAGAAACAACACCGGCAGTGGTGGCAACGGAGACAACAGGACCAACTGTGAAGGATACCTCTTTGACCCTTACGACATTGCATGGTACCGCATCTCCTTCAACTTGGTTCCTTCCGGGTTCTCTCCAGCTTCTTCCTCTGGTGGGTTGGTTTGCTGGGTCTCTGATGAGGCTGGCACAAAGACTCTTATTCTATGCAATCCCCTGGTTGGTACTTTAAGCCAATTGCCACCCACGCTGAGGCCCCGTCTCTTTCCTTCTATAGGGTTAACAGTTAGCCCCACATCTATAGCCGTCGCAGTTGCTGGTGATGACTTGATTTCTCCTTATGCTGTCAAGAATCTATCCACAGAAAGCTTTCATATTGATGCAGGTGGGTTTTACTCAATATGGGGCACCACTTCTTCCCTGCCGCGGCTTTGTAGCCTCGAATCAGGTCGAATGGTTTATGTTGAGGGCAAGTTCTATTGCATGAATTACAGCCCATTCAGTGTCCTGGCTTATGATATTCCAGCAAATAACTGGTTCAAGATTCAAGCTCCCATGCGAAGATTCCTTCGATCACCAAGCTTGGTGGAGAGTAGAGGAAAGCTGATCCTAGTCGCAGCTGTGGAGAAAAGCAAGCTTAACGTACCAAAAAGTTTGCGACTTTGGGGCTTGCAAGCTTGTGGTACAACATGGGTAGAAATTGAAAGAATGCCTCTGCAACTATACATGCAATTTGCAGAAGTCGAAGGCGGTAATGGTTTTAACTGTGTTGGGCATGGGGAATTTATCGTGATCATGATTCGAGGATCAGACAAGGCACTGCTGTTTGACATCTGTAGGAAGAGGTGGCAGTGGATTCCTCCATGCCCTTACCTTCGCGGTGGCTGTGACAACAACGGAGAGGGTTGCGAATTGTATGGTTTGGCTTATGAACCTAGACTCGCTACGCCGGTTATCAGCCTTCTCGACCAATTGACGCTTCCCTTTCCCTCTTTTAATGGATGATGATTGACTGTTCTAAAGGCAGTAACGTTTTACCATCTGCCCTTGTAGTAAGAGTATGTAGATGCAGTGTGTGAAGCTTTCGCTCTTTCCTCTGTCCAATGCATCGAATGAATAAATTTCTCTTAATATACCAGGCCAGAGGTGTGTTAGTAAGTGAATTTGAGACCCTTCAACTCAAATGTTAACTCAGCCATTTACTAGTATTACATAATCGTATGATATTCTAACTTTTCAAGCCTCTCTCTCTCTCTCTCTCGTTTTTAATGCGACATGTTAGCTGCCTCAATATAGACTGTAGTTTTACATCAACACTCGTATAAAATATGTAATATAACTACTATTGGACATCCAATCTTATCTTTAAAATTATGAAAACAACAATAATCGTAAAATTAAGTACTTTTGAATGAATTAGCTGAATAAGCCTCATCTTAGCTTCATGTAATGGCACATAAATACATCCATCGCGTAGGACTACAAGAGAGGAAATTCAAATTCAAGTAATCTTACATCAAAATCAGCACATTGAAAGAGAAAATTATGGAGATTGTACAAGCAAATGAGGGCTATTTTGATCATTTGTGTTACCTCACTTGTACATCCCGATATAAATATATCATCTATAGAGCTGACTTCATGTTGGCCTTACACAGATAAGACCCAAGGTAAATTTTGGTACTGGTACATTGGGCACCCTTTTTATATACACATCAGATGGTATGGCAGCAAGTGTCCAGTCCTTGACATTTGATTAAATTTTTATGGAACTTATGTTTTAAGTCTAACCTGAAGCATGAGATGCACATCCCTTTTGAAGATAGACCTTAGCTCTTCATTCGCTTCAATCCCTATTCTCCTGCGTTTATATCAAAAATAAGTTTTCTTTTGGTGAGATTGCATAGGCAAACACCCAATACCAGATATTACATCAGAAGTGTAGGAACGAAAATAAAACTCCATAGTAACAAGCTAAAATTAAATCCCTATGAGGTTCCCAGCCGTAACTAGAATTAATCCCTTAGAACCTCAAGGAGTAAAATTTCAGAGAGATGTGGCGTTGCTCATGATTGAAAAAACAGTGGAACCATGACAAGAAATTAAATCTTGAAAGAGAGAACTAGCTTACCCTATTTTAGAACCATTCTTCCCCACAAGAATCTTTCGCTGGCTTAGTTTGTTAGTAATGAAGTGCTGCTCAATTCTCAGAGATCCATCTCGTAATTCCTTCCAGTCTACCAAACAGTGGTCAATACCATATGGGATTTCCTGCAACAAAGAGGGTAGTCCTTATTTTGATCTTGATGATTAGAGAACTCCTCACCTCTTAACCAACCCTGCCCCTCAAATGGAAAGGTGAAAGAATAGGAAAATGAAAAACCATTCAAGAGAGAGAGAGAGAGAGAGAGAGAGAGAGAACAAAATATGAACCAAAAGGCAATGCATAGACAGAACCACCCAAGTTTTACCTGATGCACATGATCTAGTAACCTTTCCCGGACAACTTCCAATGAAATATTCTTCATGACTTCCTCACTCATTGTGAGAGGATCTTCATCCCAAGGCCTTTTAACTGCCTAAGGGAAAAAAAAAAAGGAAACAAAGCCATTGAGCTTTAATAAGTTGTACTGCTTTCTAGAGAAAGAGAAGACAGAATGGTAGGAAAAAACCTTCAGCAAGCTGCACCATTCTACAGAAGTATACCAAGAAGGCATTAATGCTAAGACGTTTTTAATAGAACAAGTGTTGCTGTATCGATAGACTCAAGGTAAAATTGCATCCAAAAGTGGGTAAATACAGAGGTGAAGGATCACCAGAGCTCCATGTAACTAATGACCACCAGCTATGTTTACCCTCCTATCAGCTGTTCATCCAGTAAAGACACATGTATATTCTAACAACATAAGGTTCACATGACACAAATATACTATAACCGCATGAGCAAATCAACTGCATCAATCAATCTCAAGTAAAAATATATATATAAATTTGCGAAAACAATAAGGTTAAATAAGAAAAATTAATAACAGAAGATAAAAATACTGCTTTTTGACAAACAAAATTGGTAAGAGAAACGAAACTGTAAGCCTCAAAAGTGACCTAGGAGACAAATTATTTGAATATCTTTACTTTCAATAGAAGCATAATCAGGATAGAAGCATGCCTGTTCCACCAGATATTTAGTAAGATCTCCTACTCCAGAGCCCTTCAATCCCGAGATCATGAAAACCCTAAAAAATAAATAAAAGAAAGTTATCAGAAGCTAACTTAAGCATGCTTGGTTTATGCTCTAAAAGGAGTACCACTACCTTCTTATTTCAGCAGGGAAACTTACTTTTCATAGCCAGGAAGATCTTTGAACTGCTCAGCAACCTTCAACAAGTCTTTCTTTTTTTCCACCAAATCAACCTTATTCATGCATAATATCCGCTTTTGTTTAGAATTTGCTTCTGCTCCCATATGTTTGATTAATCTTATCACCCTTGAATCAGGTCTATAAGGATAGATCATTAGAAAGATAATCTGATCAGCAATCAAGATATTGGAGGAAATAATCTCAGCATTAGACAAGCATTAAGAAAAAGACTAAATGTCACAGTACTCACAACAAATTACACACATGTTTATACACACAAAGACCATCTTCAAATGCATTAGGCATACTAGCAACATGTCATCATTAAGATATCATTAAGCATGTTCATGGCATGTTCATGGCATACCCAACTACTCAGCCAAGAAATAGTATGCAACCACTCATCACTCATGCCAAGAGTCTCAAGTTCTAGTCAACATTGGAACATCAAAACCACCAACCTTGCAGAGTCATCCTTTTAGGAATAAGTCAGACCCACCCACTACCACTAATTTGTTACAGGGAGAAAGAAAGCATGTGAACTTTCCTCACAAAGCAAGTTCAGAAAAACAATACAAAGATAAAAACCAGTGGTATAGGCTTAGATAACAAAAAAACTGATGGTAGATCTCAGTTGAACTCCCTAAGTAAAATCAATCTACAATGACAACGAAAAGGTAAAAGAAAAGCTATAAATATCGCTGGCTTATAAAGGATGTGCTGAAGTCCAAAGGTTAATCAAATTGGCTGTACAATCAGAAATCTCTCCAGATGAAGCAGGATAGTAAACAAAGAGTGGGAAGAACTAGAAAGAAGGATGGCTAGAAATCCTGGGATGAAGCTAAATGGACAACCAGATGTATTGTGCAGTAAAAGAGACGCTCAATGATAAACCAAATCAAAAGCACAACAACAATAAGGGTTGCCATATGTCCTAGGAAAAAATCAATACAAAAGTAGACAAAGGTCAAAAAATCAAATGTAACAGATCACTAACCGTGTAAGATGTCTATGGACATCAAAAATAACAATGAGTGCATCATATAGATTAACTGAACTCCACGCACTCTCAACGCGAACCTTCATATCTCTGTGAAGATATCCACTGCTATTTAACATGAGTCCAGGGGTATCAAAAAAGCACTGCATAATGCATACATGAAATTATTACAATGATACTCCTATAGAGCACAATAACAACATAGCAAGAGTAAAAAAGAGGTTTTTCGCACATTAACTCCCTGGAGAGCCAAAAAGAAAACATGGACACATCATATCCCATGTTCTGAGGTTCAATTAATACTTCAGAGTGGGAAGAAATCAAAATTTAGTATCAGTAACAAGAGAGAAAGCCTGTAAAATTGCTAAAAGTAAAAAACTTGAACAAATATTATTGTGTCTTATTGTAAAACAGGGTGAATCTCACAAAATAGTATGAATTAAAAAGTAAACAGAGAGGTGAAGACACTTCTAATTGCAATTAAATTAGCTAAAGTTCGGTTAATATCAGCATAAAAATGTCAGACATAAGATGGTTTGAAGGAGCGCATAAAAGGCAAATAAAGTAAAGTAGTAGTAGAGATAAAAAATAAAAAAAGGAAACATACAATCTGGGTATCCCCTCTAGTCATGACTCCCAGCACTTCATGAGTGGTTGTGTTTGTCTTCCGTGACACAGCAGCAACCTTCGTTCCAACCTATTACAAAATACAACAAACATAATACTAATTAGTTGTGATATGCATTAACATTAAGAGAATGTCCCAAGAAAAGAAACGTAGAACGAACAAACCATAAAATTAGTCAAGGCAGACTTTCCAGCATTAGGGGCGCCAATTATCCCAACGGAGAGAGACTTCTGGTCCTCTTCCTTGACCTCTCGGTCATTGTCGGCGTCCTCCTCTGGGGACTCCAAGGCAGCCTCAAGCAACGCCTTTGCAAGAATCCTCCTCCTTGCCTCCTCTTCCTCTTGTCTAAACTTGTCCGCGTGGAGAGCCTCGTTGAAGACTAGGCGTTCAACTCTTTGCCTATGGAGGACATCCCAGGTGGGTTGTTGAACTTGAGGGGCACTGCAGGGGGTTTCGGGGATTGAGAATTGGGCACTGTCGAAGACAGAGTCTGTGTTGTTTTGGTGGTGGGATTCGTCGGAGTCATCATGGCGCTGCTGGGGTTGGGCTGAGTATAAACGAGCAAGTAGACGGGGAGGATAAGAGGAAGACAGACTTCTGGCTGCTCTCAAAGCCTTCATTTTCCGGAGTTTGGTCTAAGCATTGGATTCGTTTATTAGGTTTGATGGTATCACTGCAACTGCAAGCGTCCTGTTGGCTGTTGCGGTGGCGGTGGCGGGTGTGGTGTTTCGCAGGCAGGGCGCCTGCGACGATTTTGGAGGCTTTAGTTAGGGGTTTTAGGTTTAGGGCCTTTTGATCGCCCAGGCTTGAGGAGTTTTTGGGCCCAGTCTTCTTTTCTCTTCACCCTTTTTTTTGTAAAATAAAAATTAATTTTTTGGCCACAAACTTATAAAATATAAATAATGAGATGCGAAATTATAAACTTTTTATTTTTCCAAAGTATGACTGGTCATCATAGTGGCCGTGGCCGTCTGACTTGATGAAGACGGTGCACTCATCATTCAATGATCATCCTGTAAACAAACTGGAGGAAGCTATCCGCTGCATGTATGGATCCGCGTTTTATTAAGTAGAAAAATACTTATCCAAGGCCCTGCCTGCCCTCCTCCAAATGCAATAAACAATACTTTAAAATACCACATCCGAATTGACAAAAAAAAAATTATATGGTTATAATTATAAACTCATATAAATATCCTCATAGCATGGAACTTTGGAATAAAATCCTTATGCTAAGTCCTAACAGTTTTAGAGTTTTAACTCAGAATTTTTTTTTTTTTTAAAAAAAAATTACTATCTTCTCCCCTCTGCCTCGCTTTTGCAAAGAATACAACACAATCACACATCCCATTAGGTTTTCAGACCCCGAAAAATGATGAGAAATTGGGGGCAGCAACCCCAGGCCCTCATTCCAATCCATCCATGAAATTTTCTGAAGATGCATTCCTCCCCTCTTGGTTGGAACTAAAATGCCATTCGACCAGCAAGCCTGCTTTCCAGTATCCTTCTGTCTATGGCTGCATCAATAGAGCTCATCTGAAAACAAAATCCATTTGACAATATGATCAGATAGGAACCATGACCATCCATCAGTTGCCCAAAACAGATATACATTAAAGCTTGGTCCTATGCAAAAGATACCAAACTTTGACGAAAGAAGCTGACCTGGAAAAGCCTGAATTCACGATCAATAAAATAAATTGTAATGAAGCTACGATTGAGCAAAAATCTGTTGGGTATCATCTTGTTCCACCCAAACCCCACACTTCCAAATCAAGCATAGGGAGAATGAACAACAATGAATATATCCAAATTTTAAAGGATCACATACATTCTTAACTAAGTACAATGCTAGATTGGAGAAATCCTTGAATGTACTGCAGCAAGCTTGTCAAAATTGTAATTACCAACTACCAACAAAAATAATGTAAATACCTACTTGAATCTTTGACGCCCAAACACTTGGAGGCAATTGCTTGCAAAGTGGGAAATAATATTTTAAAATAAAAGCGCATGCCCATCAATCAATGGGAATACTTGCTTAAAGGGCTCATGACTTCTTCACAAATTGTGTTCTTTTTTCATATGGAATAAATAAAACAAAATTCATATGAAAATACCTCATCAAATGGGTAACAATGCGTAAACAACTGAATCTGAAAACATGAAGCATAAGCCTACCCATCTGGTTAGATGCGCAAACCAACTCACATACTAGAGAGGTAGTTATGACTTACCTGGCTAGTTTCATCATGCACCTGATACTTGGCTAAGGACATTCTTCTCTCTTCCTGCAAGTATTTAAAATAAAACCATTTAGTAAGAATTTGCAATCAACTAGAAAAGAGCAAATAGAATAAGCATTTAAAGAGAAGTTAGAAACTGACCATGGACATGGCCTCATCATCCCAAACTAAATAAACCTCGTTTACAGCTGGCTGTGTAGCAGGAGCTTTATTAGCAATGACAGGGGGTGGTCCAATTGATGGACCACCAGTATTTGGACCAGAGGCATAAGAATGAGAATTGGCTCCAGCTCCACCTATAAATGTAAGTAAAGAAAACATAGAAGTTACAATAGTAGTACAAAAGCAAGTTAACTTAAACTGAAGTAGAAGAATAATAGCAGGGGCAAATGACAGCAAGCACAAAAATTATCTCAAAGACATTGAAGATCCAACTTGTTAAAAAATTTAAAAAGGGGATCCACTCTACTGAGCAAAGCAACACAATTGTGGAGGAAAGAAATTTTGCTTTTTGCAAAGCAATAAAGCAAAGTAGTAGTAATTTAAAAATGATAAAAACAACATGAAGGACTCGAGAAAAGTCCATTATTATAAGCAGTGGTGGTCTGAATGTTTGCATACTGCGAAAGCAAGAGAGAAGCTTTTAGTTGTAAATTGTAATCCAAAAAGTATATACATTTGCAGTGGTAGTCACGAAGGCTACGTCACCTGCCGTATGTGCTTGGGTGGTGTAACAAATGATAACTAAAGAAGGTGCTTCAGCAAAAAAGGCAGAATATCGTTATGCTTTTACATATTTGGCCAGAAAGAATCATCAAACTTAAAAAGGACTGCAAAAGTCAAAGCAATTCTGCTCCTAAGGTCTTTATAGTTTTGCCAAGTTTTTCTCTTTCCATTTTATCAGGAACAAGTTTTCCGCTCATCAACATTGTGTGGGAGAAAATGTTGTGTAACACTGTAGACAACTAACAATATAGAGACCATTTTTGTTTGTAGTCGTGAGACCAGTCAAACCTGAAATATTAGCAGTATGGTAGCTACCTGGCACAGAAGTATTAACACTCGAATGTACTTCAATTGAGCCTTTAACTTCTGCAGTAGTGCTTGGTTGAACACTTGTTGGCAAAGAAGCAGAAAATGGTGAGCTCTGTGTAGGTACATTGTCATTGACAACAGGGAACAAGGGTTGGGATACAGGAAGTAGAGGTGTTGATGTTGACAATCCAGGTGGAGCAATTTGTGAAGGTTGGACTGCAGGTGATGTTGAAACCACTGGCAAAGTAGGCCTCACACCTTGCACTGGAAATAATGGCTGCTGCACATATCCCATAGGAGCCGACGGAGGAACTGAAACTGCCGGATGCTGTGGGAACCAAGGCTGTGGACGAGGAGGAACTGCCCAACCAGTAGGAGGTACAGGCACTGCAGCACTGTAACTGAGGCAAACAACCACCAAGAGAAAAGTTATTCGTCAATTTTGCTATTACCGATGAACAATGTTAACAACTTTCAGGATGATTGATATCCTTATGAATGCAAACTCATCAATTTTGCTATTACCGATGATCAATGTTAACAACTTTTCAGGATAATTGGTATCCTTATGAATGCAAACTAAAACGTTGCATGATGAGAGATGCATATGTACACATGAAAAATGCATCAAAATCAAACAAATGATGACAGAAAGAAGCCTATTATTCTTACATAATGCCAAATTCTAAGTTTCCAACAAGCATATTTCAAAACCGATAGGCCATACAATAAATGGAACAAAATTTGCTAGTATAAGAGACCATACACTGGCGGCACTGCTCCTAAAGTTGATTGAGGAGGATATCCAACACCAAGTGGCCCTGGCACCAATCCTCCCACAAGCTGAGTAGATGGAATATCCACTTTCGCTGCTTTTGAAGGGGCCTCTTCTTCTGCAAGAAATTTTGATATTTTATGATTTAGGAAGTAGACATAAAAACAAATATAATCTCATAACGTCAATATGCAACAGCGGCAAACTTGTTAATTTAAAATAACAAATACTCTGTGAACACTCTAAGCATAAGTACATAGATAACATCTGCAATAATATACTATTTGACATAAAGGAAAATTCATAAAATTGCAGAAAACTGCAAACCTTGTTTTCTTCACATCACTTCTGCCCACAAAGAGATTTCACTCATCTTAGAGCAAACCAATATCCCCATTTTTTTTTTCTTCATATACAAAACCTTGTATCCCTATTCAACTTTAAAACGTGTCCTTCATTTTATTGAACTGTAAAAATGCTAATGATATTTAAAAAAAAAAAAAAAAACTCCACCATGCCGCCACTTTTTGCTCAATCAGTGGCATCTAATTGTGCAAAGGTACATAAACACATACTACTTTATATGTTTGTGAGAAACCACTCAAGCTATCATCATTTAACGAGGAACATGGTTATAAATGATAGTATATCCAAACACACACCGTCTTCCCCGTAGTGGGCAGCCAGTACATCAGGTGGTATTCCTTGCATTCCATAAATTTCAATGTCAGTCGATTCTCTGCCAGGTTTAGCATTGGGAACCCTATAAACGAATTACTGTGTCAGTGTACTGCAAAGGTCATTGACAGAAAAAAAAAATAGCAGGTTCACAGATGAACAGCTTTTCAAAATTGAGATTGATAACTGCAGGTGAATAAATCAAACGCTTAAGACTTAAAGAGGTAATAAAAATTCCTAGAAAATTTTCACAAGCAAGGTCAGCCAATAATTTGAAAGAGGCTAGTCATCTTCTTTATGTCTTTTGAAATTACTTGCTCTCTTCCCGGAATGACTATTCAAAACCACTTTTCAGCCAACCCCCACAAAACCAAAAGGAAAACGCCGAACAGCAAGACTTAACAAAGGTAAAAGATGAAAGATATAGAGAGGCAAGGAATAGGGGAAAGGGAGATACTTGGTGACGGACTCCTTGTGAACCTGGAGAACGTGGATGGCCATACCACCGGCGGTGGAGAGCTTCTTGTGACAGACGTGGCACTTGAAGTGCTTAGCCTTTTGGTGCTGCACCAGGATCTTCTCGTCGTCGAATTCTCTGTCGCAATAGTAGCACCATACCTTGGACGATACTCTCTTCTTCTTCTTCCCCATTTTCCTCTGGCTTTCGTGCTCTCTCTCTCTCCCTCTCCTCGCCGATTAGGGTTTCTTCTCCTTCTTCTTCTTCTTCTTCCTTTTTTCCTCTCTGATCTGCGATTTTTCTTAATTTTTAATTTAATCTTTCGGTTATTGACCCTGGGCGGCTTGCTTCTGGCTGGCGCCCTTTATTGATATTTGGCTTGGGTGTGCATGCCACGTCTGTCTAAGGAGTTCCCATAACGCAGCGCTTACTAGCTAGGCGCTTAGCTTGTGGGATCCACGTCAGCTCTCCTTTGGACTGGATTTTATAATTGAAGGCCCAGCAAAATCCACAGCCATTACCCCAACTTTTGATAGTTTGTTGGGCCTCACAAGCCCAATTCATCTCTCTCTTTCCTCTTTAATTAATTAAATGAAATAAATACTAAGAATCACTTAATTTTCATGAAATTTGAGATTGATGTGTTTTACATTAAAATTAGACTATATATATATATAATATAGGTGTTTAATACTTTTTAATATCCAAAAGTAAAAAAAATTATGAAAAACAAATTTGTAATATAAAAAAATGAAAGTATTAGACATTTAAAAATGAAAAAAAAAATCATGCTGACGGTATAAAAATAATCTTATTCATTCATCATTGTAATATCAATATAAATTTCATGCCAATTTAGATTCAAAAATTTTACAATTATTGGAAAAACTTTTTATAGGAAATATAAATTTAATTATTTGCCCCATCTAAATGGTTCCATTAAATATCATTATTCAAAATATGACGTGTATAAACATAAATATGTTTATTAGTATGCTTTTTATGTGTAAAAGCACATTTTTTATCTTTGCATGCAACCTAAGAGATTAAAGGGCAAAATCTATGTTGATTAATCTGACAAAATCAACATGCTGATAGGGAATGAATAATTAATTTGCCTGTTGTCGAGAATTTATGTCATTGTCATGCAATTTGAGCCCTTCATTTTGGAGACGAAAAGCATACAAGAAAGCAAATGATATCTTAGGAAGAACCAAAAGACCCTTTGTTGAATCCAAAAGCCATGGCACTGAGATATGGTTCCCAGTCTCACAATGACTGGACACTGAAATTAAGGCATTTGTTCCTCCATTGATGTGCGATCACTTTTTCAAGCAACAGACAAGGAAGAACAGATACCATGTTTGGTACAAAAAGGGAAAGGATGGTTACAAAATGTGTTTTATTCATGGATGAGGCAGTCAGGACCATTTGGCTAAGAGTGACATGCACGCTGCCCCCAGAAGAACCGAAAGATTAGATCCAAGCTGCAGTTTTATACTGCTTTGCATTCTGGGGTTCATGAAATCTGCAGCCAGCAGGTCAACAAGAGACATGTAAATCAAGATTCCAGCTGAAAGGGAGTTGAAGATTCCTTCCACCACCACAGCTTTGGAGCTATTCTCATTGTAAATCTTCGATATGCCCATGCCGAACGCAATTCCCATTGGGGTCGTGAAGGAGAAGAAAAGTAACATGATTCCAATGGCACGGGCCTTGAATTTTGCCTGCACAAGATATTCATTCATAAACCAAAAGTGCTAGCTTGGACCCATATTTGCAGGAGACCCCTTAGCCACATAGTCAACAATAACTACAAGAAGACTAAGAGATTTTCATGGTGATCATCTAACGGCCGATGTGCTGGATATAATAATAATTTGTCAGGTTTCACTTTCTTCTGCAACTACATTCCACAACACCACTCTCAACAGTAAGTAAATGCTCTCTGCTTTCCAAAAAGACTGCACAGATTGCGTACTTGTCGGGCCCCAACCGATCAGAAACGATCAAAAGTCATGCTTCTACTTCCTTCTCCTAGTCGTCTTGTTTGCTTCTATAACATGTATGGGGTGTGGGGCATTTAAAATTGTGGGCAGCAGAGAGCAGGCAGAGGAATGCACAATGTGTGGACTGTGTGAAGTGAGGAGATACCTGAGAGATGCAGCCACCGAGTCCCATGCCTTCAAAGAATTGATGGAAAGTCAATGCTGCTACAAGGGGCTTGATTGTCTTTGCAGTTTGGGAAGCACCCAAAGCGATCCCAATTATCACTGAATGAACTACGATCCCCACCTCTAACACCTTTACGAAAACAGTAAATAAAAGTTAATTCTTTAAATACCCTTTGAATCAGAACAATTATCGTAGTGGGAATTAGTTTGTGGGTGCCCAGCCCGCAATGGAAGATTATTCCCACGCAACGCAATGTAAATATAGAAGGCAGGGGAACCTATGAATACCAGAAAGATTATTCCCATGGTTTTAAACCATGAAAGACCTACACAGTACGGAACAATCTAAACCTTTTTCATTTAATTATATCGTCGATATCTTGTTTCAAATAAAAGAAGAAGAAAAGAGGAGGCTCAGACTCAGAACCGAGGAAAGCAGGAAAATGATTTTCCCCATAAACAAAAAATTTGTTCAAAAATGCATTTATTTATTTTGTTGCTAGTGTTTTATAGTGAAATGTTAGTAATTGGAATAAACCCCAAAGTGATAACAAAAATAATAGAGCAAAGAAAGGGTGAGAAATGCAGAACAAAAGAATAGAGGAAAAACAGAGTTTTTCCTTATTTGAGCGTTAAAGTTCAGTGCATTTCTACAGTAACATAACCTCCTGCGGAAGAGATAGAAAGGATACCTGCGATATAATACGCAGCCTAATTATGAGACCAGATGATCCAGAATCCTCTGATACAAAGGCGGATCCATGAGCATGCCCGTGAGTGGCATGCGTGTGAACATGAACATGCCCCTCATGCTCCCCTAGCATCTCCTCATCAGCATTCACCGGCAAAGCCTTGTTGAAATGCGACCTCTTATAGAAACTAGTCGCAAATGTGTCAATCATCATCGTCACTATAGCAGAAACCATAGCCAAAAACCCCGTGAAAGGAAAAACCCCCCAGGGCTTTTCACCAATGCAAGGGCTAGATAAAGACTCGTACGCATCAGGAAGTATGTGAACGAAGCCAGTGGCGAGAATCACTCCACCTGCAAACGCTTTGATCAGAAAGAAAACATTGTTTTCGGGTCGAAAAGTTGGGATTTTCTTGCCCAAGATCGGGAGAGAAACCCCTAGAGCACTGGCAAACAAGATTGATGATATTGCTACAAGTTTGTATTTCAAAGCCTTGGTTTTGTTACTGCTACTTTCTCCCAGCTCGTTTCCACAAGCACAGTCTGCAGAGACCAGGACAGGAAGGTAAAGAAGCAAAAGAAAGAGAAAAGAGAGAAAGGAATTTTTAAGCTTGCACATGGCTCCAGACAGAGAAAGAGATCGGGAAGGTTGTACCACACGACTACTGCTAAAAGTAGAAGGGGTAGGTGTTGCATATATACTAGTAGCAGTAGCATTTTGTAGCTCTTGAAAATGGCGACATGCAGCGCCATGCAGGGTGCATGAGAGTGATTTTGGGGATGCCATGTGTGTGGCAGGTGGACTAAATGACGACATTATGAGTAATGGCATTAATTAACACGAGACTTGCACCTTTAGTTTATTAAATTGTTGGACAAGGACTGACTAGGATTAGGACTTCTTGGTGCGTGAGTTGGAGAAACCCACTTGTGCTTGTTTGTAAAAGTCAATTCCAAGTAATTATATGTATTTTCTCTTGGTTTTGCTTCTTCACTTTTTGTTCTCTCTTTTCTTATCGTGGGTGCTATCTTATGGCATGTCCAACTCGCCAAATTTAATCATTCAGATTCATGAGAATGTCAAGAATTCTAATTAGTAATTAAAATCCCAAGAAGGGAAATTAACTAAAGGACATGCTGTTGAAAGACGATTGATGCAATGATGTTTAAATGCTAGTTGAGTTAGTAGTTAATGAAACGAATCGCTTTGCTTGTGTAAACTTGTGGTTTGATTAAATGATAAGTTATGGAGTCGTTTAGTCAAGTTTAGTTGAGATGTGTAGGCAAATGTCATTTTGACGTTTCTTCTTCATTTAGCTGTTAGTTTCCAAAGTCTTTAGCTTCAGTTTTCTGTTAATCTGTTGGTAGTTTCTTAACAACCTCATTTTTGAGGAATAGTCAGTTGTGTGAGCTTTACTGTATAAATGCCAAGACTGTCTTGAGAATTGACTAACGAAGATGATAACCAATTTTACAGTTTATTTTCTTTGATCATTTCTTTCTCTGTTTTGCAGTTCAAGAAATGTTTCAAAGGTTTTACAACATGGTATTGGAGCGTTCAAGTTCTTGAGGGACCAAAACCATTTAGTTTTCAGTTGTCTTTTTTTTATTGTTGTTTTTGGCAATTTGGTCTTCAAATCAATGTTGATCGAGCTATGGCTTCATGCAGCTACAATGCTTCAATTTCTCCGATTTTCTTAGGAGAAAATTACTCAATTTGGTCAATCAAAATGAAGGTGTATCTTAGAGCGTTTGATCTTTAAGAAGTAATTGAAGTTGGAGGAGAAACTCCAGTCCAGAGGCAAGTAAATCCAACTCTTGCTTAAATATGAGGAAGTAGATAAGAGGTATAAAGCTATGTCTTACTTACACTTAACAGTTTTTTATTCTATCTTTACCAGAATGTTTAGGATAAACTTAAAGAAGAGTCTGACGGGTAGTGATAGAATAAGACAAATTCAGATACTAAACTTGTTGAGAGAATTCAAGGTTTTGAGAATGAGAAGATGAGAGTATTAAGGACTATATAGAAAAGGTCATGAAAGTGGTAAATTAGTTGAGCTTGTTGGGAGAGGATTTTAGTGAAAGGAGGGTAGTAAACAAAATCTTGGTTAGTCTTCCTGAAAAAATTGAGGCAAAAATATCTTGCTTAAAGAATTCTAAAGACTTGTCTCGGATTTTAATGATAAAACTTACAAATGCATTATTAGCTCAAGAACAAAGAAGAGCAATTAGGATTGATGATTCAATTGAGAATGCTCTAGTGGCTAGTGTTGGGTGAGGGCTGATCATGCATCAAATACAAATAAAATGCATCAAAATAAATTTAAAAATTAAATTATGCCTCACCCTCTTAGGATCTCTTCCATGCCAAATGAAGTACAAAATTAAATTAAAAATAAAAGTACATGATCATATCACTTTATCTAAATAACTAAGGTTGATGAATTAGTTGTTAAGCCATCAAATCAGTCTTTAAAAAGCTCAATCACCTCAGCCCGATTGTTGCAAACTAAAGCTGTCCAAGGAATCATTGTGCAGCCTCTAATAGTGAT